TTGAGTTCTCAATTATTCGTGCAGATGTTTCAGAAACTGCCCAGATTTTCATGCCTGTCATTATCATCTCCTGGATGTTTTCTCTAGGCTTTCCAGTGGCAGGACCTTGGCCCCACACCCCTGACTACAGATACATGGCCCCTCCCCTGGAGCAACTGCCCACCTTCCTTTAAAAAGACTGTTGGCTTCCTCCAGGTCCAGAGCAACCCACCATGTTCTCAGAGCCCTCTGGACCCTGCTCTCCAGGTGTATGAGCTGGAATAGTGGCTGGTTTTGTGTATATTCTGGGGTGTAGCCAAGGACCCTGCTATTGTTGGTGGAAGGGAGGAGACCAAGAGAAGGCTCAAGAAGTGACAGTAGAGTATTAAGTCTTTATTCCCTCTGAGAAAGAGAAGATTGTAAGCAAGAAGGAGTGTTCGGGAAAGATGACCCAGGCATGCAATTGGTTAACACTTAATTGCAGGTCCAAGGGGCTGGGTCACCTAATGAGCCTTTGTTCACATGCTGAAATGCCTGCACCTGAACTGGCCCCTGGCAAACTCCTGAGCACTTTCCTAGCCACCCTCTTGAAGCTCTGGTGAGAGCAGTCTGCCTGTCTGCCAACCATTTCAGCACCCGAGCCAGCAGGACCTACGCATTCAAAGTGGCAGCAGGTACCAGCCAAGTGTTCCCCTTCTTTATGTGGTAACTAGATGGAGGCTGTTGGGGGTGCTGCACCAGCCTGAGGCAGTGACTCTTCCAGAAAGGCTTTTCAGCTTTTTTAAGGTTTCTTGTCGTTAACATTTTCTTTTTGGTCAGGGTAGAAATTTACAAATTTACAAAATTTACAAATTTACAAAATGTGCTCTGCCTCATTTGGGACTGGGGAAGAAGTCCAACTGTAGGGTGCCTTCTCCGGGTCAATTCTTAACTATTGTGTTGGGAGCAAAATTTTGAAGGTAGAATAAGGTTGATATCCACACCCAACCTCCTCCTATGCTAATGATCCTTCTTATGTAGCTACTCAGACGCTTTATTGCTTCTGCCTGAACCAGTTTCTGGGCAGCCTTGTGAATAATAGTCATTTGCACCACAGTATAAATAAGTTTATATAAGTCAGTCAGTATCTTTGTCTCTTAATTTAGGACTAAATTGCTGTCTCTGTTGTTTAGAGAATTTAGGACATCTGGGCAGGTACAGAAGGAATTAAGATGTCAGGGAAGACCCTTTACCTCTAAAACAATGGCTAGGAATTCAGACACTAGTCCCAGATAATAAGTCCCTTTTCCATTTTATCAGAAGATTGGATATTTTCAGACATTTTAGATAGGCTTAAATATAATTTTGAGTTGTTGGCAAGACAATCCAATGCTTCCAAACATTTTATAAAATGAATTTCTCTGCTATTTGAAAGAACTTGCTAGAGACAGTGATGAAGGTTTTTATATGTCGTGCAAGAAGGACCTTGGGATCATAGAAGTGATTAACACTTTGGGAGGCCTTGCGAGTTGTGAGAGTCCTGGAGTCTTTCCCCCAGTGCCATTGCAGCCATGGTAGTGTGTAGAGAGTGCTGAATGTCTCCCAAGTTAGGAGAACTGTTTGCTGGTAGGGTATAGATGTTGGGATCAGGCTACTTCATGCCTGAAGTCTGTGATCCCTCAACCAAAGGGCATGTTTATCTAGAGACACAGGAAGTTGACCATGGTGTGGAGACAGACAGTGCCCCATTCTGTGCCTTTCGCTGGTCAATAATGACCTCAAACCAAGGCAGAGGAGGAAGGAGGGTGAGATGCTAAGCGTCATGAAACTAACATCCCTATGGTGTGGTGACTGTGTTCTTCTAGAGAAGCACTGATTTACTTCCTGAATCCCTGTGAGGTGATGACCGAGAACTATGGTGGGGAAGCCCACCATGACCCACAGACCTGGCAGTTAGCTTCTTAGTGCCTTAATACCTTGGTGATGACACAGGCTCTTTGGAAAATCAGCTTGTGTAATCAGTGGTTGGGAACAGCTCACCCCATGACCTGGGAACTTGACACCAGCCAAGCACACTCTGAAGGTCAGAGAAGGACTCCTGCCTCAGGCTGACACAGGGGCTGCGTCACCAAAGCACCAAGTAGTCTTAAAGGAGCATGTTGCTGTCTGTGTTCAGGCTCATCATGCTAAGATATTAGTTTTGGTTTGCAAACATGGTTTTCTTCGTGCCAGACTCCAGATAGGGCTGGTTTCCAGAAAATCCAGCTGATTGCATAGTTCTGACATTGTCCTGGCCACAGCCTGGATGAGTTACTCAGGATCTGCTATTGCTGTGGCCTCCTTCCCATGCTCCGTCCTTTCCCGTATGTGCCTGTCTCACCCCAGTCTTAGGTGTACACACAGAGCCTGTGTTTGAGGACCAGTCATCTGCCAAGATTATTTCCCTCAGAAACTATAAGGCCCTCTGTGCTGATGGCAGCCAGATAGGAGGAATGCAGGTAGAGAAACGGCCTTTACTCTTGCCATGCCTTCTACCGGCTGCCCTTTCCTCCTTGGGCCTCTTCAGTGACCTCCTGCTCGTTTTTCAGGCCTGGTCATCACAAAGTGTTTACCATTCTCCCGCTTCCCCAAGTGGATTAAACCCTCCCCCCGATTCCATTGTACTTTTAATAAAATTCATCACAGTGCCGCTTTTTTAAAGATATAATTTACAATTATGTAAGTCGTGACAAAAATGTTTGTCATATATATACAGTCCTGTAAGCTCTACCACAGTCAAGACACTGAATTGCCCCCCAAAATTTTCCTCTGTTGCTTTGTAGTCAGACTCTCTCATCTCCCCCAGCCCCTGGCAGATGCCTGTGTGATTTCTCTCGTCATCGTTTGTCTTTGCCAGAACAGCATATAAATGGGATTGTAAAGTCTATAGCCTTTGAGTGGCTTCCTTCACTCAGGATGATATCTTTGAGGTTCTCCCACGTGGTTATGTATACCCGTTGCTCACTCCTCATTGCTGAGGCCCCAGGACTTATTGTCTGTGTCTCTATATGGGCCTCTTCTACTGTATCTGGATATCTGGTATTTTTCCATCCATCTCTTTGGTGGCTAACTGAGCTCCTCCAGGGCTGGACTGTGCCTTGTGTTTCTCTGTATCCCTGGCCTGCATATAGTATGCACAAAACATGGTGCTGGGGCAACTGTGTGTTGATAGGGGAGATCCTTGGTCCTCTCTGCCTCTCTAGGGCCCTGAATGGTCCCTGCTCAGTCTCTGGACAGCAGATGACCTGGAGAGGCTCCCATGGTTGTCGGGTAGCCTTCCCGTAAACCACTGCTGCCCTCAACTTGGTGTCGCTGATGGGAAGATGCCAGCACAGGGGAGCTGTGGATCCCCTGCTCTCTGAGGCTCTGTGTCATGAATTATTGGGACTGTGGTACAGGTATGTGTCTGCCTCCTTCTTCCTAGACCAGGGAAGCCTTTTTTGGGCCTTGTTTGCACTGAGTCACAGCTGCATTGGCTTGGTAGTTAAAAATAGGCCCTGGGCATTTCCGCCCTGTGTCAGGCCCTCTTCTCCTCGGGCAGAGGCTGGAATTCTTGTGTAAATATGTAGAAGAGCTCGTGGTTGGGACCGTTTCCATTTCAGAATCTCCTTGCTTGGCCTTCTAGAGCTGTGAGAGCAACATGGCAGTGGGTGAGTGACAGAGAGAAAGGGAGAGCTATGTGTGCTAGGACACACATATCATGTGATATGCTACTGGGAGACGCTGAAGTTTGTGGTGGTTCCTCCAGCCAGTGGAAGAGGTTGGTCATTCACTGTCATGAAAGTGGCTCAGTTTTCAAGGGTTAGTTGGAAAAAACCACTGGGTCAGACTGACCAGCATTCAAACTATGATTCCACACCTTATTGGCCCATGGCCCTAGACAAGTTACATGACTCCACTGAGCATCAGTTTCTCCTTTGTCAATGAAGACGATGTTATCTACTCCACTGGTGACTATGAGGATTAATAGTTGTCGGTTGTGTGTGTAAAGCAGCAACAAGACCCTGCCCGCCGTAGGCCTTCTTCGTGGTAGTTGCTACTACAGCCATCTTGTCTTGCTCTCTGCTTTTGCCAGTAAACATGACAACTTTGTATTGGACATCTAAGGGAAGAATCGGAGGGTCTGAAAGGAAAGGACTGTCCGAATGCATGTCCAGACCTCTTTCCAATGTGCTCACACCTTATAACCTTTATTGTCCTTCAGCCCCTACTGTATCCTTAAATCACTTAAACAGCTGCCCAAGTAGGGCTGCTAACTTGGGACTTAGCGGCCGGAAGAAGACTGTAACTGAGCTTAAAATAGAGATGTGTCCCTTGACTGGTACAAGGGCTGCGCAGGCCCCTGGATAGCAGGCCAGGTGGCATCTGCACACCCAGACTGAGCTGGACCCTTGGTAGCTGGAGGCTACAAACATCCCAACGAGGGGGACCCTGCCAGCAAGCCAGGCCTTCCTTTGTCCAGAAGCCCTGAGGACGGTATGTGTTCTCAGCCTCAGCCCAGCACTGCCTGGCCAGAGACTACTGACTGTTTCTCAGGGAGAGAAAGACTAGGGAGGATGGGATGGGATGGGGCCGGTACGGGGAGATGGGGATCAGGTGTAGGTGTAGCTGGCGCCTTAGGCTTAGTGAGGCTGTATGCATCAGGGCCGGACTGCTTTTAGTCTTTGGTAGGAGGGAGTGGAAGGAGCCACTGGATGGCTTTTTTAGGGATGAAAAGTGAAGCAGTCCTGTATGAAAGGCAAATGGAAGGAGAGCTCAGAAGGAATGGGCTGCACTATTTGTCTGATTAAGCCCCAAACCAAGTCACTGTGTCTGAATATAAGTGTGTCAGAAGCAAACCAGAGAGCGCCCACAGATCAAGGCCCACTCAGAAAGGTCAAGCCCCTCCTCTAGGGAAGACATCCGGATGGGGCAACCTTTGTACCCATAGCAGAGTTCCTCTAATGTTGTCTTTAAGTTGTGCTTGTGACTGCTTCCTCCATGGCTCTTCTTCCCCCATACAGGTGCCAATATGGAGCCTGACCACTGCTGAGCAAATAACCACAGAGAGCCGAGGTTCTAAGCCTTTCTCTGGACCCAGGCAGGAGGCACCCAGCCAGGGAAGGCAGACTCACCATGGCTTCCACCAGCGCGGAGAGCCAGCTCCAGAGAATCATCCGAGATTTGCAAGGTATGGCAGGTTGCTGGGCAGTGTATATGAGGTTTGGTTCTGAGGGCTTATGACTCTGTTTTTGTTGTTACTGTTTGAAATTTAGCCCTTTCATCTTTGTTCACACAAGGAGTAACGGGAGCTCTCAGGTCACATCATATTGAAATATTTGGGGCTCACATATCCACCTTGTGTAAGGCTGGGAGAGCTTGCCTGGCTCTCCTTTCAGAGCACTGTAAAGCCAGTTTATAAACAAAATCATCTACCCCTCCTGAGACTGGGTCTTATTTCAGTTTGTGTGTGTATGTTTTCAAGCTGCCTGTAAAGTCTCTGACTAAATCACGAACCTCTGGGCTCTGATGAAGTTGGTTCCTTTGGGAAGGAATATTCTTCCTCCCTCTGAGCAGGAAGGCCAGATACCATCTGGCTTGTTTTGCTGCCCAACGGGGTCCTGGGCTGGCGGACAGGCCATCACCTGGGATGTACTTCAGTTCTGGGCCTGCTGCCTCCCAGACTTCCTTGAGTACAGTGTTGTCCACTAGAAAGTCTGTGCCTTGTAGCACTTATCTCATTGGAGAAAGGCAAGACAGGGTGAGATGCATTTAAAGCTCCATAGACTCAGGAGAAACAGATTGCTTCCTTACTGGCTGCAAATTCCAAGTTTCACCCTTTTAGCTGATGTCCCAAGAGTCAGAATTTTGGTAAGTTTTCTTCTCCTGCCCATCACCAGGGCTGGTCTTGTAAGCTCCTTGGAGCTCCAGCACACTTGAAACAACACAGGCTGAAGTGGACCACTTCCTCCATGCCTGCAGAGTCCACTGGGACGCTTTTATTTGACATACTAAGGCCCAGGTTCCTGGCTGCTTGGACACAATGAGCAGTTATCTCTCATGCCAGGAACCATCATCCTCATAAGGCCACAGTGCGGTCCTCATTCTGAAGGTCCAAAGTCAAGGAGATAAAAATCACTTTCCCAGGCATTTTATCTTATATCTATAGTGCCATGGGCCTCTGATAGCTGATAATTACATGGCACTTAGTGAGCACCAGGCTCTGTCCTTCACAGTCTTATGTGATGCAGTAACGCATTGAGCTTTCGTATTTGGTCCTAAGAAGTAGGTACCATTTTTCCCATTTTGCAGATGAGGAGACAGGCACAGAGAGATTAAGTAACTTACCTAAGGTCACACAGCCAGTCCAGAGAAGAGCCTGGGTTTGCATACCAACAGACTTTGAAGGCCAGTGGCAAACTCACATTTGCAGGGCCTGTCATTTTATTTTTTATTTCTATGTAGATTTTTTTTTTAAGTGTCTAAAACCTTAGCTGACATTAGACTAGTGTGGTTAAGAGCATAGACTGATGCCAGACTGCTGGTGTGCAGACCCAGGCTCTGCTCTTGATAAGCTATGTGACCTTAGGTAAGTTACTTTATCTCTCTGTGCCTATTTCCACATCTGCAAAATGGGAAAAATGGTACCCTCTCATAGGATCAAACATGAGGACTCAATGAGTTACTGTCCATACGGGTTAAAAGGTGGGGCCAGAAGCTGACCCCATACCTGCCTGACTCTAGAGTCCTTGTAACTACTGTCACCAAGAGACTGAGTAGGCTGCCCTGCAGTGGTGTGAAGACTCCACTGCACAAGGATGCTTCAGTTAAGGACACACTACTGTCATGGTAGATGCTGCAGCGTTGTATGCTAAGATATTTACCAACAGATGAAAAGTGAAGGGTCTTGAGAAGGTAGTACCTTTTAAGAATTCCCACCAAAGTGCCTGGTGGCCTATGTATAGGACATGGAGGCCAGCTCAGGATATCAGGATGACCAGACTCAGCTGGTACATAGGTAGAGTTTCTATATCAGAAACTCTACCTGTGGGTCATCTCTTTCATTCTCTTCCTTCCCAACAAGAAACTCTGGGTCCCAAAGGTATCCTTGAGAAACAAATGTCAAGATACAGAAAACAACAGTCACTTGTAAGAATCATTTCCAAGAACCTATCTTCACCATTTGCTGACCTTGGCCTGAGGGGTCAGTTTGGTTTAATTTTCAGCCAGCTTAGGCTCAACATGAGTTCTGAGCAGGCCTGTTTCAAACCACAGTACTTCAAAACAGGAGTAGGGATTCCTTTTCTTTTAAAAATTATCAGGGAAGAAAATCATTTTGTCCAGCATGTCCCAACCATCTAAACTGAGGAAATGTTTCCCAGTATCTCAGCCAAATCCAATGTCTGTGAATGAGTCAAAGTGTTTTTTTCTCTTTTCTGAATAGGAGGTAAATTCTCTTAAAGGTTAAGAGGTGGGCTCTGGAGTTAGAAAGCCCTTGAAGAAACCAGGGTTCTTATTCCAGCTCTGCTGTTGGTTACCCATGATCTTTGGCCAAGTGTTCTGACCTCTCTGTGCTCCTCATCTCCAAAATGGGGATAATTATACCAGACTTTGTAGATTCTAAGTTGTGCTCCCCCCACCCCCACATTTTAACAGTTCTGAAATTGGGACACATGCAACTGCATCTTAGATTTACTGAAATAGGACAATCCCGCCTCACAGTGGCATTTTAAATGAGAAATACATGTAAAGGCCTGGCCACTCATGGGCATTCCGTTAACAGAAGTGATGGTGGTGGTGTTGTCATTGTTGAGATTGTTATCATCCTTATGATTATTTGTACATGCTGGGTGTTCCTGAAGCCTGCATGTACCTGTACCGAGCAGTAGGGTTATAAGTGAAGAACAAGAAATATGGCCAGAATAAAGGATAAAAGTTTCTGGGAGTCAGTGATATGGGCCTGCGTGATGCATCCACACAGCAAACATGTTGACCAGGTACTTCATGCAAATGTATAACCCTAGATGGTAGAGATGATCAAGAAATGTGCCCAGTCAGCAACCTGTTGTAAAGTATCCATGGGCTCTCAGGATGTTGTAACCTCTTAGACTTGGAGTTGTAGCCTTTGGACATTTATATCCCGTCTACATTTCTGAGCTGCTTTGCATCACCAGCCACTGACTCCTCATGCTTCCTGAGGTTATTCCTGCTTTTTTCTCTGAGTTCAGTCTCTATCTGGTTACATGTTTCTATTTGTTGTCTTAAAGATGCTGTGACAGAACTAAGCAAAGAATTCACAGAAGCAGGGGAACCTATCACAGATGACAGCACCAGCTTGCATAAGTTTTCTTATAAACTTGAGTATCTGCTGCAAGTAAGTGATGCCTATAATGTGTTGATTGTCTCTCATTTCCCTTTTAGGTAACTCATCAGCATTCAGGATATGGTTCAGAAAGCTCAATGGAGCCATTAAGCCCTTGTGATTAGATTGAAGGTCAGAGCATTCCCCAGCAAGACCTTGTTCCTCTAAGTGTGATTTTCTGGAGAATAGAAATATTGCCCCTTAGAATGACTTTGGGCATTGAGAATATTCTTTAGAGATTAAGGTCATCTTAAAGCAGGACACAGGACACTGTATAGCAAGGGTCTTAACTTTGGAGCAGTTATATATACCTCTTTGAGAGTTTGGTGAAAGTTATGGAGTCTCTCCCCAAAAAGACATGCATGTATGTGTGAGGCACCCCCAAAAATCCCCAGAGTTATCTTTTTGGAGGGCAGGCCTCTTACATTACAGGCTTCCCCTACTAGACAAGTGTTCTAGGAAACCATTGGCATCAGTGTACCAGCTAGCAATGTGAGAGGCTGCATTGTAGAAAAAATGTCCCCAGTTGTGGCAAACAGGTGACTGGTTCTTCTACCATTACAGTGCACCTGCCCACACTGCACTGAGTGTTCAGCAGTTTTTGATCAAAAATGGCATGACCAGCCAGGTGTGGTGGCTCATGCCTGTAATCCCAGCACTTTGGGAGGCTGAGACAAGAGGATTGCCTGAGTCCAGGGGTTCAAGACCAGCTGCGCAATTTGGCAAGACCTCATCTCTACAATAATTAAATAAAAAATTAGCCAGACATGGTAGCACACACTTGTAGTTCTAGCTACTTGGAAGGCTGAAGTGGAAGGGTCACCTGAACCCAGCAGGTTGCTGTGTTGGCCATGAGTGTGCCACTGCCTTCCAGCCTGGTCGATAGAGTGAGTCTCCAACTAAAAAAAAAAAAGGCATGACTTCCATTTCCCCCTCTATTTACCCAGTCTTGCCCCAAGCAACTTTTTTTGTTGTTTGTTTCCCTGGATGAAAAAAGTCCTCAAAGGGAAACATTTTGCCAATGTTGAAGAAATGAACTAAAAAAAGAGAAAAAGGCAGAAGCACTAAAAGGCATCAAAATCAAACAAACTGAGCAGTGGAAAAAGCATAGGTGTATCGCATCAAATGGAGAGTACTCTGAAGATGACTGAAATTTAAACATGTAAGAATAAATACACAATTTCTTAGAAATAAATTCTGGTTTTTGGGTGTCCCCCATGGTACATATATACTCAGTCACCCATTTTTGCAGGCAATTTCTGAGGGTTCAGGAACCCTCTGAAGATTATCCACATCTCCTTGTTTTAAAACCTTGCTACTCAAAGTACAATCCGTAGACCAGCAGCATCACCATCACCTGGGAGCTTGTTAGAATTATATCTTGGTTCCCACGCTGACAGGCTGAATCAGGATCTCTGGGATCAGCCTAGGACATTTTCTTTTAATGTATTCATGGTATAACACATATGCCTGCTTCGTTCAAGAAGCACCAACGTAGAGAAGTCTGCAGATGTGGAAAACATATGTAGCTGAAATAAGCAGAAAGGAAATGCATCAGAAATTATTTTAGGGTTCTGGTATTAGGCATTACAGATTTTTTTTCCATTTCTTCTGTCTTGTTCTATCTAGATTTCCTAACAACATATGCATATCTTGCTTCTATAATAAGAAAAAAACTATAAATTGTTATAGAAAGATATATCATTTTGGAAACCATTATTTTGCAGTGTTGCATCCTACCAAAGCATGTAGCATGAGAGCCCAGTAAAAGAAAGGCCCCTAGTGTGTGGAAGGGCTTGCCTTTCTCTTGCCTTTTCAACTGTCCTTTAGCATTATAAAAATGTTTATATACCTTTTTTTTCCAGTTAAGCACATTTTGGTTTTGGATTTGAAATGACTCAGAGCTGATGTTTATTTGAATTTCTTTTATGTGTATTAAAACAACATTGAAACTTAAGAGTTGAGTAACTGGGGTAAAATGTCAGTACCTTATTTCCCTAAGATGCGGCATAAGTAACACTCTTTGTGTTACCCTTAAGACTGTTTACTTATATTTCTTTTTTGTGTGTTAATAACAATTTTGGTGTTGCTAATTTTCACCCAACTCTATGCACAGAAGATTAACACACTTTGATTTGCCAGTAAATAAAATGAATGCCAATAAAGGGCCTCACCCAGCACCAGCACCTTAGAAACTATTGTTCTTATTTATCATTTAAATTATGGGATGAACAGCAGTAGGCTTAGAGCTCCTCTCTCTGTCCTTTTCCCTACCCAGTTTGATCAGAAAGAGAAGGCAACCCTCCTGGGCAACAAGAAGGACTACTGGGATTATTTCTGTGCCTGCCTGGCCAAGGTGAAAGGAGCCAATGATGGGATCCGATTTGTCAAGTCTATCTCGGAGGTAAGCTGAGCGGAGCAGCCAAGGATCTTGTGTCTTCCTCTTGCCTACTTTAAGCATCTATTACAGAGACATCTGCTGCAGACAGCCAGGTAAGGAAACGAAGACTTACAAGTGGGAAAGAAGTAAAGAAATTCAGTCCAGGTATACTTAGTGCCCATTGTTGCTGTGCCACAGGCTCAGGGAAACCACTTCAGTGAGTGTTCACTAAGCAGAAGAATGCTGAGTTCTGAATATTTGTTAGGCCACAACCCACATGTTACCTAATGGTGGGCTGTTCACATTGTAAATCTCTGCTCATGGCACCCCTTGGAGGTATGGTCTGGGACATCTTCAAACAAACAAACAAACAAACAAAAAACAACTTATTTTCTTAGATAAAATCTTGGAGCTTGCTAGAGTGCTGTCCTTAAAATTTGCCCAGGAAACATTAGTTTGAAATATGAATGATGTGGGATCTTAAGAGACTTGTTTTTTTCTTTTTGTTTAGAATATAGAAAGAAAAGAGAAACATTTCTTAAAATGTTGGTGTGCTGAGCAGCTTCCCACATTCAGTTCTGAGTCCCTTGAGAAATGAATGCCATGGCTTTGCTGTTTTACAGAACTCCAGAACAACAAATATACACATGCACTTCATATAACACACACTCTCTCCTTTCTGCCTCTCTCCCACCCCAGTCTTCAAAGAATCTCTCTTTCTGTCTCTCATCAGCCTAGTTTATTCTAGAGTAAAGAACTCGGCATATCAAAGAGGAAGTAAAGCCCTAGATCGGGAACAGGAAGTTTGTATATTTCACCTTTCTTTTCAATATCTCTTCAGTAAGTGTAAGATCACCTTAAAGTCAACACACATGCTCCCATGAAGGCCATAGCCCTAAGCTATGTTCTGGGAAGAGCTGCCCCCTGACCATGCCAGTGGGAGCCATATGAGTTTCTTCTTATAGAGAATAATGTGTTAGATATGCCAGTATTGGGGACTGGGTGCTCCCCCATCTGTATCCTCTGACACCTGAGAAGACGAGGAAAGATGCTGGCTCTAAAGATGTTGTCCTGTGAGTCTCTTTAACGTCTTGTAGTGTGAGTGGCTTTTCTGAGGGATATCTGGTAGAATACTCAGGTCCATGATGTAGAGAATTGTTTTAATTTCAGTGCACCATAAATCTGGAAAGGATTCTTGTTGTCAGTCTCCTCTCTTCATTTCTCACCACTGCATCAAAGCAACTAAAGCCTTTGGCTTCATGATTTCAGACAGCTGTCTGGAAATAAATTTAGTTTTAATCCCCATCCCCCATGATGAAATGCTTGCTAAAAACATCTGGTTTTTGGCTAGTTTCCTCTTCTTATAATGCAGACAGATCTTAAGGCAGTTTTGAAGCCAAAAGCATTCCATGCTTACATGGTTTTTTGGTGGCTGGCATAGGCTTTCCTTCCTGTAGGGTCCTGTTGTTTCATCTCTGTTGAAGACTCTGCCCTCTGGGGTTTCATTGGTTGGAATAGCTTGGAATAGTGCCAGCCTAGGTGAGTTGCTGAATATTTGGGTTAATTTTAATAATCAATTGCCACCTGCATTAAGTGCGCAGGTAAGAGCTAATGGATAAGAAGCATTTATAGGACCCCTCCAACACTTACGGGGTAAGAGGTAACTATTTGGGCTAAAATAGGTGAAGGTTCTAATAAGCCATTTCCAGAGGTTCAGAATGGGCTTGGATTGCGTTTCACCACGATGAAGAGGGTGTGCTTGGCATCAGGCTCATGACACAATGGAGTGGTTTAAAGCAGAATCAGCTCTCGTGTACCCTGCAGATTTCTTGTCCTTTGCTGCCATTGTATCACTTCTTAGTATAGTGTATATGCGTTCTGATCAGATGCTAAAAAAATTAAGGAATTAGATAATGAAGGTAGACCCATGATCTTGAAAAATAAAAAGTTTGTGCAATATTTTGATTTATAGTACAAAGGAACTATAGTTCCCTTCACCAAAAAGGTATTTTAAAATACCTTTAAAATGAGTAGCTCCACATATGTGTGTGTGTTTGTATATATTTTTTTGAAAGTAGAAAGAGGTAAAGTTTATTATTCACCTTTCACAGACTAGAAAGGGGGCCAACACTCAGAGGCAAGTGTGGCCTCAAAGGGCCACAAAATGCATATATTTAAGGACTTTGGAGAGGAGAGAGCAGCAGGTCTCAGTGGAAAAGGAGAACGACAGAGCAAGAGAGTGGCAGGTCTCAGTGGAACCTCCAAAAATGTTAGGATCATCTTGCTGGAGCCTTCAAAATATGTTAGGGTCACTTTTCCAGCAGGGCCTCCAGAATGTTAGGTCAGGCCCGATGGGGGTGTGGGCGTCTGGGGTAAAATCCAATGACACATGAAAGATGCAAAGAATTACACAGAAGTTAGATTAGAAAATAAAGTTTATTGAAATAAATTAGTGAGAGAGAGAAAGAGAAGATTCACCTCCCCAAGGTGAGAGAGGGAGCCAAAGCCAGGCAGCATGGCAACAGTCATAACTCAAAGAGCACATGGCCACACCAGAGTTTAGCAAGGCAATGGCCATGTGTGTGTATTTCTAAAAGCTGTTATAATGGTCAGTTTGCCAAAAAATAAGGAAAAACTCCTGCCTTTGTGAGCTTGAAGACAAGGGCTGTTATGAGGGTCTTAATTTAACTCTTTGGGACCATGTGTAGATATGTGTTTGCATGACTGACACGCTTCATTTCATAATGCTTTGGTCAACTGGTCTCAGCTGCCCAAGGTTCCTGGTTATCTTCACTGAACACTTTGTTCTCACCTCACTCATGAGTGGAAAAGTGTTTAGATGTGAGATATCATCAGGATTCTACCCCACCTATCTCCAAGATCAGCCCTCTGCAGACATGCCATGGTGGTTTTAGTAGAGACAGTCTGTTGTCAGCCTTTACTTCCAGGTATGCTGGCTAGACACTGAGCCCACAAAACACGCATGGGAAATGTCTTACAGCTTCTGTACTCAAAAGGCTTAGCACCTTTTAAATTTAAAACCACTTCATTTTATGAAATAACTTCCTTGAATCAACAACATGAAGACATGCAGCTCTAAGGTGCTGTAGACTAGGATGATATGAACTGGAAGGTGCTATGTGCCAGGATGTTTATACCATCACCAGTGCTTTGGGCTAAACCACATATTTCCTGACTCAGTCTTGTACTACAATTGATATCTTAATTGGGACCCTTTTTGGTCAAACCACTGCTATCATTTCTCCTGCCACATATACACACATTAAATATTTCTGACTTTTAATAGGGGTGAGGAGGGTATTGGTCCCGACTTACCCACTCAGAACCAGAGGCTAATGGAGCAGATGCCTGTGGTAGGTTGGGAAGTTGAGTCCCTGCCAACTTTGTTAAGCTTCTTCAGCTGACACATCAGGAGTACGAATCCTAATTTGCAAACTGGTTTTAAGTACCTTCCCTGGCTGTCCCTGTATTCCAGTGGTCCTCAATCTTTTTGGCATCAGGGACTGGTTTCACAAAAGACAATTCTTCCACAGACTAGGGGGCGGGGTTGATCATCAGGCATTAGATTCTCATAAGGACCATGCCACCTAGATCCCTCGCATGTACAGTTCACAATAGGGGTCATGCTCCTGTGAGAATCTAATGCCACCACTGATCTGATCCACCCACCTCTGGCTCACCTTCTGCTGGGGGGCCAGGTGCTGGTCCATGGCCTGGGGATTGGGGACCCTTGCTTTATTCCATCCCTCTTGACTGCTGTGTGCTCTCCACTGGCAGAGCCTCTGACCATCATATCCTGTCTCCATTGCAAAAAGCTTCCAAAAACCTCCTTAGAAATTATGTGTGTTTTGGTGTGTAGTGAATTTAAATCTCAAAACAGTTTAAATCACATCTTCTCCTTCCTCTGATTTGCTTTTATAGTTACAGGTATAGTGGGGAGAGATTTTGAAAATAGGCCTGCATCTGGGTTTCCCTGGTGCCATCCATCCAGACCTGTGGAACAGACCCATATCAATTTTTTAAAATTTATTTATTCATTTGTTTTAGAGATGGGATCTCACTTCATCATCTGGAGTGCAGTGGTGCAATCATAGCTCATTGCAGCTTGGAACTCCTGGCCTCAGCTATCCTCCTGCCTCAGCCTCTTAAGTAGCTAGGATTGCAGGTGTACACCACCACATCTGGCTAATATTTTTCCATTTTGTAGAGACAGGGGTCTTGCTATATTGCCCAGGCTGGCCTCAAACTCCTGGCCTCGAACTCCTGTCCTCCTGCATCAAGTGCTGGGATTACAGGTGTGAACCCCTGCATCTGGCCCCATTTCCATTTTATCTTTACCTCATTGTGACAAGACTTCCTAGAGACAACTTTGCTCTCTCCCCTGGGTACTTTCTGCTCGATGCAATAATTTGCCATGTCTGAAAAAAACAAATCCATTGGAAAAAACGTTGATAGATAGGTGGATATTACTGACAGTCTTATGGAGACACAGAGGAGGCAGTTACAAACCCTGCAAGACACTTTACAAGTCCTCCTCATGCAGTTCTGCTTTGTCCCTCTCTTCCCCCTTCTACATGTGCTTCCCCAACCTTTTAGTCCCCTTCTCCTGTATCTGTTCCCCCAACATCTTAAAAACAAAAACAGTGTTAGCTGCGCTAAGACCATCTCTTCCTCCTCAGACTCTCTTTTGCTATGGGAAGCCCTTCATTTACCTCCAAGTTTTATTCTAAGTATTCCAGGTTAAGTCAGAGATCACATCTGACTCTAAACCCAGAGATTCTGATGGAGCAGAGAGAAGAGAATGGCATCCAGTAGAACCCACAGATGTCAGAGTGTCTTAGTACGTCTTCCTTGACACGTCTGCTGGCATCTACAGATCGTTCTCAAATGAAGACCTGCAAGTAGTTCACCTACTTCAAGCCTTGCTCTCTGGAGTGACATTATCAAATGTTCTGTGTTCTTTGAGGAACATGAGTGAAGCCCACATGTAGGGTAAAATTGGGTGACATTTTCTGCCCCATATCTGTTTTTAGCAAGCCATCCAGGAGGCCATGTCTGTATTTGAGTCAGGCCAACAGCTCTTCGTCTCTGTGTAATCTGCTTTTTCTAGCTCCGGACATCCCTGGGGAAAGGAAGGGCATTTATTCGCTACTCCTTAGTGCACCAGAGGTTGGCAGACACCTTACAGCAGTGCTTCATGAACACCAAAGTGACCAGGTAAATACATGACAATGCTGAGGTTTAGCCCCGTCCCATTCAGAAATGAACTAAAGTTTATTAATAATTATAGTGACAACTGCAACAGCAGTGCCTCTTTGTGTTGCACCGTGGCACCTGCAGAGTTTTTCAACATCCATCTTCAAGGACTCCTACCATAGAGTCCTTGACATGTAGGGAAGGTGGCACTGAGATTTTACAGGTAAGTAAATGAGGCTCAGAGAGGGAAAGGCCTTTCTCTATGCCCTACCAATGTTGTGTTTTGAAGCTGGAGCTCACAGCCAGGTTTTCCCTGGTGAATGGAGTATTTTGGTTCCAGTGCTAATGGACAGATAGGTCACAGCCTTGACTCCTCGGTAGAATTGCCTGTGGGGTTTTTAATTTCACTGAGCCTGGGACCTTACCTGACACAGAGTCAATACCTGGCTGGGGTGTCTGCTTTCCCTGGAGACTTAATGGGCAGCATAATGGGGAGGCGCTGCCAAGCTTAAGTCGTCTGTGTGTTCAGCAGAGAAGGAAGAAGGAAGGAGAGTGGCAAGGACTGAATATGTAAAGGGGAGAGTGGGGGTCAGCTTAGGAGCTGCAAGTAAAGTACCCATCAGCCAAACCTCTTGGGGCTGTCTGACCTCTTTACTAGCCTTGCTTCCCCTCCACTTTGGAAGTGTTCTAGTTAATCAATGAAATCTTTGAATTAAAACAAAAACTATACAGGGAAAATCTTCTGTTTCATTTTGTCACCTTGAAGATCGATTTGCATGAAGATGTATTTCTCATGCCTGTGACAGGTCTTGTGAATTGGTATGAGTTGAGAAAATTCCCACATCTGATTTGAAGGTCATTTTGTTTTAGATGTTTTGTGAAGACTGTCATAAACAATTTGACTTCATCACAGTTTACAGACATCAACCAAGTAGCCCTTTAAACTCATCAGTATTATCTTGTTAAAATTCTTGTTGCTTCATCTAAAATGAAACAATCACTACCTCGAAGTGCAGATAATATCCCTAAATGGATAGTTTTTTTGGCTTTTAAATTGGTATCTGGACAGAAATTAACAGTGAGTTTAGTGTCCTATATTGAGTTCTGGAAAAGGATTAGAAAGTGAGGTTATCTTTTAAAAAGGTAATGTTATTTTTCTTACAATTGCCCTATCTTGGCAAGCAATTGAGATTTAAGGTTTCTCATATTTTCTTTTTGAAAAATAGATATGGTATAAACAATAAATGAATAGGCATCCAGATTATTGCAGTAACTTCTTTGAAGAAAATCAAGCTTATTTAGAATTATGTGTGCCTACAGTGAAAATGAAATTGATCTGTGTGTCTGTCTTTTATTAATTTAGTAACCTGAGTTGGAATTTAATGAGGCAGAGCCACCCTGGGAGGACTAATTAAATTCACTCCTTCCTTTTCTTTATTACTCTTATGATGAGCTCATTTTATGTTTTTCTGCAGTGACTGGTACTATGCAAGGAGCCCCTTTCTGCAGCCAAAGCTGAGCTCTGACATCGTGGGCCAACTCTATGAGCTGACTGAGGTTCAGTTTGACCTGGCATCAAGGGGCTATGACTTGGATGCTGCCTGGCCAACATTTGCTAGGTACTTTGAAGAATTGCTTGGTTTAAAATATGGGGAAAGAGATGTATAAAGTTTTGAAGATTGCCAGCAATCTACTCAAAGCAATTATTCTTGCTCAGTATATGACATAAAGCTGTTCGACTCTTATGCCTACTAATTTTATAGACTCTGTAGAATTTGACTAATGATAATATCTGAAGGCTCCAACCTTAAGCCAACCTAATTGACCACAGGCTCTGAGTCAGTGGAGGTGCATAAGCAAAACCCAGCGTTTTATTTATTTATTTATTTCATCGAAATCTCACTCTGTTGCCCATGCTGGAGTGCAGTGGCACAATCACGGCTCATTGTAGCCTCAACCTTTTGGGCTTAAGCAATCAGTACACCTCAGCCTTCCACGTAGCTGAGACTACAGGTGCTCACTGCCATGCCTGGCTAATTTTTTTATTTCTTTTTGTAGAGACAAGGCCTTGCTATGTTGCCCAGGATGGTTTTGAACTCCTGGGCTCAAGTGATCCTCCCGCCTCAACTTTCCAAAGTGCTGGGACTATAGGCATGAGCCAACCCTGCCCAACCACCAAGGTTTTTAAGTTGTTCTAAGGGCTTTGTTGATGTGGGAGAGGAGCAAGTGGGCTTTCCCCCCATGTGTTCTTACTGAGTTGTCACAGAAGCCTTCCAGGCGGTAAGAAGAGGTGTGAAAACCACAGCTTACCCGTGGAAGGGTTGCTGGCAAGGTTGCAGTATTTTGTTTCTTCCTTTTTCTTTTCTTGAGGTCATCCAGCCAGCCATAGCTCACACCAGTGTGACACACACACACCATCAGAGTTCTCACATCAAGTTGGGAACAGGCTCAGAAAGTGAAAGGACTTGCCCAGACTTACACAGCTGGTGGACCCAGAGCTGGGGCATCTGACATGGATTGAATTCGTTACCAATGGGGTCAGCACATTTGTTTTTGTTTTTGTTTCTGTTAGTAAGGTTTTTGGATTTTAATATTTACATTTTTATTAGGAAATACTTTTTATGTAGAGAAAAGCACTGAATATGATAGTCAGTTACAGACCACTGGGATTTAGTAGCTTGCATTTTGCCATATTTAGATGTCCTTTTTAAAACTTTTAAATAATGAAATTATTTCAGAATTACAAAAGAGTTGCAGAAGTAGTACAGAGTACTCATCTATCCTCCACCCTGATTCCTGAGATATCAATATTTTACTATCATTTGTCATTTTTCTCTTTACACATGTTAGTTTACTATCTAAGCCATTTGAGACTAAATTACAGATTTGACTCCCTTTTTCTCTTAATTACTTCCTTGTATATTTCCTAAAATCAAGGACATCCTCTTGTATAACCTCAATGTAGTTATTAAAATCAGAAAATTAACATTGATACAATACTGCTATCTAATCTACAGAACTTATTGTATTTTAAAATTTATCTCAGTAATGTCTCTCATAACCTAAGATCCAATCCAGGAACACTTGTTAATTAATTGTTAGTTAGTTAAATGCCATGCCTCATCAGTTCCCTTTAATTTGGAACCATTTCTTTGTCTTTCATGACACTGACATTTTTGAAAAGTACAAGCCAGCTATTTTGTAAAATGCTCCTTAATTTGCATTTGTCTTATGTGTCCTCGTTATTAGATTCAGGTCAAGCATTTTTGGCAGGAATACCTCAGATGTCATGTCCCTGTCGGCACATTATATCCAGAAGCACATAATATGATGTATTTCTTTACCAGTGGGGTTAACCATGGTCATTTGGTTAAGGTGGTGTTTTCCAGGTTCCTCCTAAAGTTAATATTTCTCCTTTGTAATGAATGTGGATCTTATGGTAGATACTCTGAGATTATGTTAGTATCCTTTTTCTCATAAATCTCACATCTTTTAGTTTTAACATCCATCAATAATTCTTGCCTGAAGCAGTTATTACCTTAATGGTTACCAGAGTAATTTTCTAATTCCATTTTGACTTTTACATTATTAGTTGACATTCTACCCTAAGGACAATGTTTTCCTTCCTCCTATCCATTTATTCATTCATATCAGTTTTGACTTATGGATTCTTATTTTGTTCAGTGGGTTATATTCTGTCACTATCATTATTTTGAAGCTTAAATTATCCCATTTATCCACTTATTCTGGTAGGAGCCCTTCAAACTGGTTCTTGTATTGTGTGTATGTGTGTGTGTGTGTGTGTGTGTGTGTGTGTGTGTTTTGAGTTAGGGTCTCACTCTGTCTCCTAGGCTGGCATGCAGTGGCAAGATCATGGCTCACCACAGCCTTAAGCCTCCTGAGCTCAGGCAATCCTCCCACCTCAACCTCACCAGTAGCTGAGACTACAGGTGCGCACCACCATGCCTGGCTAATTTTTTTTTATTTTTTGTAGAGATGAGGTCTTGCTATATTGCCCAGACTGAACTTGAACTCCTGGGCTCAAGAAGTCCTCCTGCCTTGGCCTCCCAAAGTGTTGGGATTACAGGTGTGAGCCACTGCACCTGACCCTTTGTTATGTCTGATACTATTTTAAGAAATAAAACAGTCTAAACCTAGTTAAAGCCCAATCTACTGCCACCCTCTCCCTTTACTCCCCTTTCATATGTAATCACAGTCCAAGAGTTGGTGCATTTTTTTTTTTTTTTTTTGAGTTGGAGTCTCACTCTGTCACCCAGACTGGATTGCAGTGGCTGCTCCCAGCCACCACAGCTTCAACCTGCTGGGCTCCTCCAGCGATCCTTCCGCCTCAACCTTCCGAGTAGCTGGAACTACAGGCGCGCGCTACCACACCTGGCTGATTTTTTGATTTATTGTAGAGATGAGGTCTCGCTGCCCAGGCAGGTCTCGAACCCACGGGTTCAGGCAATCCACTCACCTCAGCCTCCCAAAGGCGCGAGATTACAGGCTGAGCCACCAAGCCTGGCTGAGTTGGGGCATTTTATTCCCCAATTTTTTACTACTATGATATGCATTTGTAAATATTTTATCTATATGTATAGTTTTATGTTGATATATTTTTAAAATTTACATACATTGAATCATGAGACAGTTAATCGTTTTGCAGCTTGCTTTTTGCATTCTGCATTGTTTTGGAAATTTTGTACGTGTTTGCACATGGAGTTCTATAGGTATGGAGTGGGGTTAGCAAACCACAGCCCACAGGGCCTTTGTGGAACATAGCTTTGCCCATTTGCTTACTTATTGTCTAGGGCTGCCCTTATGCTGCAGTGGCAGTTGAGTTCTTGTGACAGAGACCATGTAGCCCACAAAACCAAAATATTTACTGTCTGGCCCTTTTCAAAAAAACAATGCTGACCCATGATATAGAGTATTCTGTTGTGTGAGTAAACCACAATTTATGTTTCTCTAGCAATATAGGGTTAGTCTGGGTTTAATTTTTTTATTCTCTTGGGATGCTGCCAAGAGCATCCTCATGTCTCCTTACACACATGTGCGACTGTCTTTAGGGAAGACACTGAGAAGAGCAGTTGCTGGGTTGTGGAGACTAACAGTTTGAAAATCCAATAATCTTAGATTTAGGATGTGATGCTGGTGAAGTAAAAATGTGTTTAGTTTTCAGTGTTCCTGCTGAACAAGAGTTACCACACAAGTCTTTGTATGTCTAGACTAATACCATCCTATAGGACTTTCTGCAGTGAGTGAAGTATTCTCTATCTGCACCGTCCAGTGTGGTCATGTGAACTTGAAGCAGGTCTTCTAGCTCCGTTATGTATTTGTAGTGTACAGTGGTGATTGTGAGCCCCTTAGCACAATGTGACATTTATTTACCAAATTGACTGGTACTTGTTCCTCACTAGCAGACACACTAAGGGAGGCACCAAAAGCTCAAGGAAAATGTAAACCAAAAATTGGGACATAGATATTTATTTAATTCTTTTGTGGCACTGGGAGGAAAACCATGATGCTTAAACTTGTAGCCATGGGTCCATCTGTTACAGACCAATGTAGATGAACTCTTTGGTGGACACTGTTGGATTTTACACCTTTGTACTTTATCTGGGAGGGCACCTGGTTGCCTAGTGAGCACCAAAACCTGTGTGTGTGTGTGTGTGTGTGTGTGTGTGTGTGTGTGTGTGTGTGTGTGTGTTTCCTGTTCTGAATACAGGTATGTTTGTTCTGTGGACCTACAGAAGGACACTGGCCATTGGCTCTTCTGCTTACCTGTGGAAACCTCCCAGCCGAAGCTCCAGTATGAGCAGTTTGGTGAGCAACTACCTGCAGGTAATGCCAGGAAGGTTGAAGGTTATGTCCTTCCCTCTAGCAACTTAAGGATGGTGTTCACAGATAACCGTTGGTCCAACCAGGGCAAGATAACTCCTCAGCATAGACACTATTTCCTGGAGTCTAGGTTTTTACAACCAAATAAAATCTAGGCCCTCTTAAAATTAAATTTTTAACAAAGATTTTAAAGTATTTTTATTTTATCTTTTTTTTTTTTTCTGGTCACGGACTTGAAATTCATAAAGTATTTTAAAATAAATACTTTAGCACTATGGTTAAAAGTGACAGAGTCAGATCCTGGCTGTGTCACCTACCAGCTGTGACCAAGGAGAAATTATTTAACCTCTGAAGCCTCATCTTTCTCATTCATATAATGGTGATAATAAAAAGTATTCTAGCTTATAAGTGAGAGAGTACGTGTACAGTACTGAGGGGTTTGCCATATATGTAAGGGCTCAGTAAATGTTGGTAGGGACAGTTTGTTAATTTTTTTAGAAATGTGAATGTACCATAGCTTTATAGTTTTGTGTAAATTGACTGGCAATTTTTAAACATGTTCAATATAAGGAGCGTTAGGAGTAGAAAATAACATTTTATCCCATTTTGTGGTTTAATCATGCCAGAGGTTATGGGTATTGTGCGATGGGTGGATAATAGTTTAACTGAATTTATCTAAACACCAACATCCATCCAGTTAATGAAGTTAAAGGAGGATGATGAGAAATACATCTGTGCCTTAGTGGAGCTCACACATGACTTCATGGCTTTAGAAAGTGCTGCTGACCTCATGGCAGATGCTTTGAGCAAAGCTATTCTAGTCCCTTGAATAGCCTTTTAGACCAAACTTAGGGCAGGTAAAGCCTGTAGTTTTACTTCAGCTCTCATTAAATTCTAAAGCTTTTCCATGTAGCCATGTGGTTTCATCCTGAAGCCACATATCTTTTGTGTTTCTTGTCCCCAGACTCAAGAGATGGCCTCCAACTTTGACCTGAACAGTCCACTGAACAACGAGGCACTGGAGGGCTTTGACGAGATGAGGCTGGAACTGGACCAGTTGGAGGTGCGGGAGAAGCAGCTGCAGGAGCGCATGCAGCAGCTGGACAGAGAGAACCAGGAGCTGCGGGCAGCTGTCACCCTGCAGGGAGAGCAGCTGCAGACGGAGCGGGAGCGGGGGCGCACTGCCGCAGAGGACAACATTCGCCTTGCTTGCTTGGTGGCTGAGCTCCAGAAGCAATGGGAGGTCACGCAGGCTACCCAGAATACCGTGAAGGAGCTGCAGGCATGCCTGCAAGCCCTGGAGCTGGGAGCAGCAGAAAAGGAACAGGATGACCATGCAGCCCTATGGCGGCTGGAGGCCATGCTACAGCCCCTGGTGCAGGAGCTTGAGGCTGCACGGGCCTTACCGGGCAAGAGGAACCCACATTTAGCTAGTATTCCAGACCAGCTGGCTGCAGCTGAGCATAAGGCAAATATGGCACTGGACACAAAGGGGCAGCAAGTGTGTGTTCCCACTGACACTGCCCTAGAGATTCAGAAGCTGGGGGAGAAGCTTCAGGCCCTAGAAAGGGAGAGCACCAAGGTCCAGGAGCTCAACAGGCAGCAGAGTGCCCAGCTGGAGCAGCTAGGCAAGGAGCTACAGCTGAAGGAGGAGGCCCGGGCCAGCCTGGAACTCCTGGTGAAGGAGATGACCCCACTCCGGGAGGAGCTATCTGGGCAGGGGCAGGAGGCAGCCCAGCTCCAGCGACAGTTGCAGGAATCGCTGGCCCACTTGAGCTCCCTGGAGGAGGAGCTGGAGGAGGTGAGGCAAAAGGAAAAGCGGCAACAGGAGGAGAAAGAGCTGCTGGAGCAGGAGGCCAGGTCTCTGACTCGGCAGCTGCGGCTCCTGGAGACCCAGCTGGCACAGGTGAGCCAGCACGTGAGTGACCTGGAGGAGCAGAAGAAGCAGCTCATCCAGGACAAAGACCACCTCAGCCAGAAACTGGGCACACTGGAGCAGACTATTGAGCAGCCAGACTTGAAGCTGCCTGTGGCAGGTGAGAAGAATGAGGCTGCGGTCCCCCAGGACTCCACCCTGCAAAAGGCCTGTGAGAAGCTGGCGGAGGATCAGAGGGGTCTGCAGGAAGGACAGATGGACGATCCTAATGTACAAGAGGGCAGCCAGGAGGCTGCACTCCGGCAGGCCAACAGGGAGCTGGAGAAGGAGCTGCAGAATGTGGTTGGGCGCAACCAACTCCTGGAGGGCAAGCTGCAGGCCCTGCAGGCTGATTACCAAGCACTGCAACAGCGGGAGACAGCCATCCAGGGCTCCCTGGCCTCCCTAGAGGCCGAGCAGGCCAGCATCCGGCACTTGGGTGACCAGATGGAGGCAAGCCTGCTGGCTGTAAAGAAGGCCAAGGAGACCATGAGAGCCCAGGTGGCAGAGAAGGACGCCGCTCTGCAGAGCAAGGAGGGTGAGTGCCGGCGGCTGCAGGAGGAGGTGGAGCAGTGCCGGCAGCTGGCAGAGACCCGGCATGGGGAGCTCAGGGCTCTTGAGAGCCAGTGCCACCAGCAGGCCCAAATGATCAAGGTCCTCACAGCAGAGAAAGACCAACAGGGGCTTGATCCACCCCAAGACAACGAAGCCCATGAGCTGGCAGCCCAGCTGGCCCTGTCTCAGGAGCAGCTGGAAGTCCATCATGGGGAGGCCCAGCAGCTGCAGGCTGATGTGGTGGACCTCCAGGCCAAGCTCCAGGCAGCCCTGAGTGACCGGGACAAGGTGCAGAGCCAGCTGAGCGTGGCTGAGGCAGTCTTAAGGGAGCACAAGACCCTCGTGCAGCAACTAAAGGAGCAGAATGAAGCCCTCAACAGGGCCCATGTTCAGGAGCTGCTGCAGTGCTCAGAGCGTGAAGGGGTGCTACAGGAGGAGAGGGCTGGTGAGACCCAGCAGAAGGAGAAGGATCTGTGGGCCCTGCGGGAAGAACTTTCCCAGGTGAAGTGCAGCTCTGAGGAAACCCAGCTGGAGCATGCTGAGCTGCAGGAGCAACTGCACCAGGCCAACACAGACACAGCTGAGCTCGGCATCCAGGTCTGTGCACTGACCGCAGAGAAAGAACGGGTGGAGGAGGCGCTGGCCTTTGCTGCCCAAGAACTCCGGGATTCTAAAGAGACAGCCTTACGGGAGCGGGAGGACCTGGAGTGCCAGGTGGCAGGCCTGCAGCAAGAGAAGGAGAACTTACAGGAGAAGCTGAAGGTGGCCGAGGAGGTGGCTGGTGCCCTACCTGGTCTACAGGCCCAGCTGGCCCAGGCTGAGCAGCAGGCCCAGAACCTTCAGGAGGCTGCACACCAGGAGCTCGACACCCTCAAGTTCCAGCTGAGCGCTGAGATCATGGACTACCAGAGCAGACTTAAGGTAATCCTCACTTCATTTCCTGGGCTCTACCCATCTCCCTGGGGCAGGCCTAGTGGGTCCATGAGGGAATGCCTCTTCAGCCCTGAGGCAGGTGTGGACTGGGGAATGTACTGGGGAGTGCAGGCAAACACACCGCGGTCCTGTCCTGCTGTCACAGCTCACAATACCCTCTTTCTCTCTGCAGGAATGTGTTAGGGGCAGAACACCAGGAGTGATGTCTTAGCCCGTCACTCTCAGTCTAAACACAAGAACGTTGCAAACAAGATTGGCCCACACAGAAGTATGTTTTTTAATTAGTAGTCAACACCGAAAGAACAGGATGTTTACAAATTCAGTTTAGAGGCTTCTTTTGGAATCTCAGAAGATCCAAAAGCTTGTGTCCTCATCCCCATGTGGCAATAGTCTGCAGGGACTCAATGGTGGTAGCCCACTTGGAAGGAGGCACACATCCTCTGGGTTTTTCCTTACACTTGTTTCTGTACTTGCCCAACTCCTCTGGCATGTGAGTTTGAGAGCCCTGCTTTAGCTCTAGAACCACTACAGAGTGTCAGCCGTTCACTACTGCCTCAAGTCCTATCTCTGGGTTCTTAGTGAATTACCAAACCATTCAGGTGCCATCCTGACAGCAAATACAGCTAGGGAACTGACTCAGTTTTTACATGACCCTTGGGACAGACAAGTTTGTGGGATCAGCAGTTACCATGTGCCTCTGAGAGTGCACAAAGATGAGGGTTGAGAATGGCAAAAAGTAAGGACACAGGCAAGATCGCCTGGCCTCTGATTTCCAGTGCTTACCGTCATCTGTCTGTATCAAGGGCTATGCCATCGTCTCAGGCCACTCCTGGTCCTTCTCTCTGAGGCAGCTCCCCTGCAGCACCAAAGATGTACTTTCCCACCCTGTATAGCTACCTGTGAAACTCCCTATAGTTCACAGGCCACTCTTTCCCTTGCAGAAATTAAGTTCTAAGTTTGAGGACCAAGCTAAGTCTCTTTTCTTAATAAGATGGAAAGTATTTGTTATCAGTATAACTTGAAGCTCCCTGAGGAGACAGTGTGTGGGGAAAAGAGTAAGCTTGTTTTTACCCATTGGACCATGGGGCTAAGGTAGGGTCAGAGAAAGCACCCCACTTTTATGATTCTTTTCTCAACCTCTCCAGACTGCCAGTGAGGAGTGCAGGAGCCTCAGGAGCCAGCTTGAGGAGCAAGGCCAGCAGCTACAGGCCTCCCAGGAGGCTGTGGGGACACTGAAGGTAGGCCCTGGCCAGTGCAGATCTTGCATGGCTTTTACTGGTCCATTTAAGAGGGTCCCCTAACTGACTTCTAGTTCCCCAGCTGAAGCTGTCCTCAGTTTACTTCTGTAGACATCCTGAGTTTGCACCATGACCCCTGCATTCCCTGGACACCTGACTGGTGTTGCCAAGAACAGAAAGAATTTAATTTGTCTTCCTTGGCCATTTAAGTTGTCTTCCTTGACCATCTCTGTAGGCATTCTGTAGCCAATGATTCTAAACTGAGCAGGAGCAGAGGCGGCACTGGTCCCACAGTCTTCAGTCTTCAGACCTGTGACAAGTTCAAGTGAACCCTGCTCTCTGCCATCCCTACCTCCAATGTCATCCTGGGTATTCTGGTTCTTGTCATCTGCCAGCACCACAACCTGTTGCACAAATGTAGAGCAGAGGTTCCTGGCCTCTTGAACTTAAGAGAAAACAATCTCCATTTAGAAGTGATCCAGCCAGGCAGAGTAGGTAGCACAACAGTCACTTTATGGTGCCTTGCATGGGCTCCTGCAGGCTGAGTGTCTTCTTCCCAATGTTCTGTGCCAGGCCACCCAAGCAGACATGGAAGAGAAGCTGAGCTGCACCAGCAGCCATCTTGCAGAGTGCCAGGCCACCATGCTGAGGAAGGATAAGGAGGGGGCTGCCCTGCGTGAAGACTTGGAGAGGTTAGTCACATGGTCCACTCACATGGCCATCGGTCCTCTTCAAGGAAAGGTGTTTGATGCAGTCATTTAGAAAGTCAGTCACTCACATTAGGTTTAGGAAGTCCATTTACAAGTAAAACCCCAAACTCAGGAAGTACTTGTGCCGGAAACATGACACAGAACCTGGCCGTCTGCCTGTCACAATCTATAGATGACTAAAGCATCTTTCTCTGGAAAAACACACTTCAGTCCGGTAACTACATGCTTTGGAAAAACTGAAATGAAATAAATAAAAGACTGTAATAATAATGCTAGTAGTAACTGCATACATTTAAATAATGCTTAAAATGTAGCAGGTACTTTTTAGTCTTCTGCATATATTCTCCCATTTAATCCTCTCAACAATTCTATGAGGAAGGTACTATTATTTATCCCCATATTACAGATGGAAGAGAATGAGTGTGCCAGGGACCAGGGTCTCCTATCTTTGTGCAGACATTCTGGTGCTGGATCTGTGTCAAGCAGATCATGCTGTCACTCCTTTCATCATTTTTTTAACCTTAAACTATAACCTTAAGTGCTGTAGCTCTTACAACCTCCCTGACCACCTTATCTTCAGGCTTGGGGCCACTATGTGGTGATGGGGCCCAGCTAGTCCAGCTAGCACCTGATTAAAACAGATTTAGCAGGGAGGAATTGCTGGAGTTGAATTGCATCTGTGCCACCAGCACATACAGGTGTACCAAATTGTCCCAAGTCACTAACTTTTTACTCATCCTGCACTTCTTCCCACCACCAGCCTTGTAGCCCAGGTTCAGCAGGAGATACAGGGTATGTTTGACATTCCATAACCTGGACATACATTTCTTCTCATCTGACTCTTCCAGTTTTCAAATCCTTAACCAGGCCATGTTCATGTGACACTTTTAAACAGAGAGAACCTCCTGAATTGGTGGCATTAAAATGCTATAACAGCAGTTATCTGTAAGATCTCGAGCATTTACTTTAGCTGTAGAAAGTTGTACAGTCCATCTGCCTGGAACTGGATTTTATTTTATTCTGCATGTGTGTGCTGTGTGTGTGTACACATGTGTGCATACTCATGAGATCATTTTAGTGGACAGAGTCTGGTAAACAACCTCCTGACAACTTTGTACTTGATGTGGAAGGGCTGGATTAGGTACACATTAATTAGTCACTCTACATGGCCTTCTGTTGTGTGGATTTTTTACTGTGTCCCACTGGGTCATCCTTGGAAAAGCACTACCCTGGGGGATAGCTGAGCTGAACGTGGAATGGGCAAGGTTGGGAAGATAGCAAGTTCAGCCAGCAGCACCCGCTGTAGACCAGGGTACCCTACAACACACAAAAGAGAATTCCTAGGGCCTCGGAGGGCTGACAGATAGAGCCACTGGGAGTGCAGATTCAGCAGAGTGCCTGCTGTGGGCTCAGTGCCATGCCCTGTTTAGAGTCCCAAAGACATGGAAGACGGGCCCGCTTTGTGTGGCCACCTCCAGAGAGCTACATCTCTATCCTTCCTATTCTGACTCCTTTCTCCTCCTGCTCCTTCTCCCCAATCACCAGCCCATGAGCCTTGTCCATCGGGCTCCTCTTACAACTTCAGTGTCTGTCCAAAAGCCCAGGGGTGCAGAGTTTTACTTATTTAGAGTACTTCTAGCAACCTGGGATCAGCCTGCCCTACCAGAATGCCTTTTTGTATGTGCAGGGGAGGGTGTGAGGAGAGTCTTGAAGGCTAGAAGACTACATAATCTCTGAGCAGATAATGCCAAGAGGTTCCCCCACTGGGAGGGCAGCAGGACCCCACATTAGAGGCCCAGGTGACCCCAGAGGCACCAAGGAAGCTGGAAGTGATAGCTAATCAAGAAAACTTACCATTCCTCCCCTAGGACCCAGAAGGAACTTGAAAAAGCCACCACAAAAATCCAAGAGTATTACAACAAACTCTGCCAGGAGGTGACCAAACGGGAGAGGAATGACCAGAAGATGCTCGCTGACCTGGATGACCTGAACAGAACCAAAAAGTACCTCGAAGAGCGGCTAATAGAACTGCTCAGGTGAGTGTTGGCCAAACTGGCAGATAGGGCTTCCTCCGGCTCTGTTTTACTGTAAAGCAAGGTGACTGTTCTTAAAAGAAAACTTTGGGAATTTTCCCATTCTCTTGCCCCTCTCTCAGGATCCCTTCTCTCCTTCTCCTCCACCCTACCTTCACCAGTACAAAGAATCCTAAACGCCAGTGCCTGCAGGGACAGACAGCTGAGGTCAGTGGAACTGGGCTGGGAGGACTGTGAGAAACCGGGGGCATAGCTGTGCTCTGTCCCTGCCTGTCGTTGCCACATCAGTCTCGGGCCAGAGCTGCCAGATCACTTTACTTCTCAAGAGAAGGTGGAAGCCTGGATTTTCACCTGAAAATTCCTGATTTTTAAATGTTGGAAAGTTACCCAAGATTTTTAAAAACTTTTCTTTATGGAAAATTTCAAATATACAAAAGTGGAGTCAAATAAAAGGCACCCCTGGGCACCTATCACCCAGCTTCAACAGTGTTCATCTTGTGGCTGCTCTTGTTGCACCTGTAGTTCTCCCATTTCCCCACCTTCCCAGATTATTATGAAGCAAATCCCAGACATAATATCTTTCATCCATGAATTTCAGTATGTACCTCTCTAAGACAAGGGCTCTCTATTTTGAACAACTACAATGTCATTACCATGCTTCCAAAAATGAACAATAATTCTTAATATCATCAAGTATCTAGTCAGTTTCAAATTTGTTCAGTTGCCTTATCATTTTTTCATGATGTGTTCTAATCAAGATCTAAATTAGATCCATACATTGCAAATAGTGATATGTCTATTATGTCCCTTTTAGACTGAGTTCCCTATCAGCATTGTTCTTTGTGATTTATTTTTGAAGAAGCTAGATCATTCATCTGGTCAAATTTCTCACAGCCTGGATTTTGCTGATTGCATCCCCATGGTGTCATTTTACATATTCATTCATCCCTCCCTTGCACTTTCTGAGTTGATAGATCTAGAGCAGTGGTTCTCAACCTTGGCTTCACATTAGAATCACTAGGGGAGTGAGTTTTAAAATGCCATGTCCAGGCCCACCAAGAACAACTGTATTGGAATTTCTGTGTTGGGACACAGGTACTGGTGAACCAGAGTTGAGAACCATTGCTCTACTAGTGGCTTGCTTAGACCCAGGTTCAAAATGTTGGCAAGACTTCATAGAATTGGTTTATAGTTTTGGATCTTCCCTCTAAGAGGTACATATGATCTGATTAACCCTCTCTTTGTGATGATAGCAGTCATAAATCAGCAATGCCTAGATTGAATAATTCAATAAGTGTTGCAAAATGGTGACATTAAATTTATGACTAGTGTAAAAGCTCTACCCAAATAGCATCAATATATATACTTAGCACTCAGGGTATTTGTGGCCTGAGGGGGGTGATGGAAAAGCTCAGTTCCTGACATCATTCCACATTCCCAGAGTGTGGGTGCCTGGCCTTCTAGGGACAGACAACTCAGATACTGGGGACCCGCTGGGAGAATGAGGCTGGTCCAGAGGATGAGTCTTCTTGCTTCCTGAAAAATTTCGAGCATGCTTTAAAAAGCCAGTAATTCCATGTTCAAGTGTTTTTATTTGGGGAAAATTTTCTGTGGTTGCTTGTGGCACCTGGCCAGTGACGGAGGCAGTCTCTCTCAGGACCGGAGGGGCTCTGGCATCGTGTCACCAGGGACTGAGGCACTGCTGCAACCCCATGAGCCCTCAGGATGTGGCTGGGGTTCCATACGGGGAAGAGCTAAACTTCCCTTATCAGAACCATCAGCCCTAGAAATCCTCATGGGCAGCCATGAGGAAGCCTCTGTATACATCTCTTCGTTGCAGCAGGCATGTTCAGACACTGCCATGCCTTTCTGGAAAGACTCACACTTCTTTCAGAAAGTGAGGATTGACCTTACCATCTCTCTGAGGAACAGAAGAGGTCAACTAACCTCTGATCAGATTTTGGGGCTGGGAAATCTTTGGTCTTCTCCAGTGATACTTGAATAAACCATGAAAATGTGAAGGGCCTCAAGGATATTAAGATTTGGGTAGGGAGTACATTCACGGTTCTTGGGCTTACCACATGTAGTTTGTCAACACGGCAGCATGTTTTAGCGTAAAATCCTCATGGTCATTGGCACTGCTGTTTAGATGCCTGAATGATGTGTGACTCTTGTCAGTGCTGGATGGTACTCTTTGCACTGGACAGAACCTTCCATGGACTTCTTGTGCCTCCTGCAGAGTCTCACACATGTAGTATCAGTTAAGAGCCTGAATGCTGGGGGTGACAAAGGAAACCTAGTGTGGGACAGAGTGCATTTCCAAGATAAAAATTTAATTTTCCTTCTGTGACTTAGGAATTTGATGGCAGTCTTTTGAAATGAAGCAAGGATTATTCTATTGTTTTCATGGATTCTTTCTTCTTTTTTTCTAATGTGGTTTTGTCCCAGGGACAAGGATGCTCTCTGGCAGAAATCAGATGCCCTGGAATTTCAACAGAAGCTCAGTGCCGAAGAGAGGTGGCTTGGGGACGTGGAGGCGAACCACTGCCTTGACTGCAAGCGGGAGTTCAGCTGGATGGTACGGCGGCACCACTGCAGGTCAGCAGGCGGCTTGTGGGCCAATGCCAAAACCCTGGCAGGGCCCAGGCCCAGAGCAAATGGCTCTGAATGAGGACTATGTAATAAGTGTTGGTATCATGGCTGACTGTCTAGGAAGCACACTTCGCCTTTGAGTTTTAAGGGAACCAGGCTAGGAGGATATATTAGTTAGGGTTCTAGCAGCGTACTCAGGGCTCCCTGAAAGTAAAGAGTGAAATACAGAGATGAGGGCAGAGTTAAAGGGATCCACGGGGACGTGGTACACCCAGAGGCCAGCAACTCTTCAGCCATTTCTCAGCCTAAGGGGACCAAAGGGGAACAGTGTTACTGGAACCCAGTAAGAGCTGGCCTGAGGCTTCATTAGAGCAACACAAGGCAATGCCAGGGTAGCAAAGATCCTCAAGAACCCAGGGAAGGATGGGTAAAGATGAACTTCAGGCTAGGCTGAGGCACATGGGGAATCATCACCATAGGCCTGTAAGAATCTGTGGTCTTTTAGAGCCTCAGCCCCTGAGGTATGGGAGGCACACCGGCAACCTGGTGTCAGGGAAGGTGGGCTCATCCATGCTTTCTGTCCTGCCTCCCAGGACCTTAGGAAATAGTATTCTCTCACAGGGCTGACCAAGATGGCTTTACTGAAATCTTATGAAAATGGGCTACAGCCACACTCTAAAGTGGGGCTGAGAGCCATGTGACATCCAGAGCCCAGTTCTGGTGCTGGGCAGATCACATGAGTACAGTACATCATCCTCACAGCCTGTGCTTGTTTCTTTCCCAGGATATGTGGCCGCATCTTCTGTTACTACTGCTGCAACAACTATGTCCTGACCAAGCACAGTGGCAAGAAGGAGCGCTGCTGCCGAGCCTGCTTCCAGAAGCTCAGCGAAGGCCCTGGCTCCCCTGATAGTACTGGCTCAGGCACTAGCCAGGGAGAGCCCAGCCCCATGCTGTTGCCAGCCCAAGCTGGGACCCAGGCCATTGGAGGCCAAGGTCAGACTCCTGCTACTGCACTGTGTTCTCCAGGTGCCACTCCCATGTCATTGTGGCTAGTTAGCACTAACAAGCTAAATTCACTGTTTTCTAAACTTAGATATTAAAGAGCTGCTAGAAATATATAACCACCAATTTGAGACTTCCTTTTTAATGTAATTAGGGTTGAAAGAGGGTTGAAAAGTGAATAACTTTCTCCTGACATGATTCAGTGTGATTTTTTTTTTTTTTTTTTTAGTTGGAGTCTCACTCTGTTGCCCAGGCTGGAGTGCAGTTGCACGTTCATGGCCACTGCAGTTTCAACCTGCTGGGCTCAGGTGATCCTTCCACCTCAGCCTTCCAAGTAACTGGAACTACAGGCATGTACCACCATGCCTGGCTAATTTTTTGGTTTATTGTAGAGATGAGGTCTCACCAAGTTGCTGAACTCCTGGACTCAGGCAATCCTCTTGCCTCAGCCTTCCAAAGTGCTGGGATTACAGGCTTGAGCCACCGTGCCCGGCTGTGATTTAACATGAGGTCTATGTACCTCTTAACACATTTACCGCCAGTGAAATACCCTATGCTTTGGAAAATGCTGTCTCACGCTGATGTCCACCCTCTCACAGAGGTCAGGAGTTAGAGTGTCTGGAGCCATCCATATTCTTCACTCTCTTCCTGAGGCTCACACTGTCTTTTCATAGCCAAGCAGGATGTATTCTCCCTTGGGTCCTCCCATTCAGTCCAATAAAAGGAAGTGGAGCTTGGGTCCTGCTGCTTCTGCTTCAAGCACCCGGCAACAGACCAGCCTGGGCTGCCCTCTGGCACTTTGGACTTTAGATGTGGAGCACAGCGAGGCAGACAGAGCTGAGGTGTATGGGCAGAGGTGGGTCTCCTCTCTGCTCAAGCACCACTGCCATCTGCAATTGGCCCCTATGAACTCCTCCTTGGCCTCTGCCTAGGTGCAGGCCAGCCAGGTTTTAGAATTACTGAGAGTTCCTCTTTTGTTTATGTGGATTACAAAGAAGATCAGCAGGTCCCTTTATTTTGTTAGGTACAAAGAACTTCCCAGGATGGGGGATGTACTTTGCAGAACATTAGTATATCTTCTTCAAATCTTTTGCCCATTTAAAAAGTTTTTTAATTATTGAATTTTGAGAGTCCTCTATATATTCTGGATGTAAGTTCTTTATCAAATATGTGTTTTATAAGTATTTTCTCCCAACCTGTAACTTGTCTTTTTATTGCCTTTCAAAGAGCAAAAGTCTCATTTGAAGAGCAGAAGTTCATAATTTTCATAAAGTCCAACTTATCAATTATTTTCTTTTATGGATCAAATTTTTTCTTTCTTTTTTTGGTGGTAGTAGGGCATCATACCTAGCTTTGCTTAACCACAAAGACATAAAGATCTTCTATTTTCTCCTAGAAGTTTTGTGACTTTAGGTTATACATTAAGGTCTATGATTAGTTTTGAATTAATTTTGTGTATGGTGTGAAGTATAAGCATACTTTGTATTTTGTATATGATTGTCCAGTGATTTCAGCACTACTAATTGAAAGTCTTATTTTTTCCATAGAATTGCCTTTGCACCTTTGTCAAAAATCAGTTGACCTTGTATGTGTGGGTCTATATCTGGACTTTCTAGTCTATGCCATTTATCTCTGTGTCTATTCTCTCACCTATATTGCACTGTTATGGTTACTATAGTTTTGTAATGCATCTTAAAAATCAGGTAGACTGTGTCCTCCAATTTTGTTATTTATCAGAGTACTGACTATGCTATGTCCTTTGCTTTTCCATATAAATTTTAGAATTAGTTTTATCAATTTCTGCAGAAAAATCCTGGTGATATTTTCATTGGGATTGCATTGAATTTCTAGATCCATTTGGTTAGAATTGTTATTTTAATACAATTGATTCAATCCATGAACATAGTATACTTTTCCATTTATTTAACTCTTGGATTTCTCTCAGTGGAAATAATTTTGGATTGCTGTGGCCTGCTTTCTCCTCCCTCTGCCAGCCTCGAAGGCAGTTTCAGAAGTATGGCTGGGTCTATGGAGACAAACCAATCCTTGGTCTCTTTTCTCCACCTATGCCTAAGGCTCTCTATTATGCAGACTTGAGACAAGAGGAAGAACATTCCTTCTAATGCACAGCCTGTCCCAATGGTCATGTGACTGGGCCAGCTGGGAACTTGTAGTGCACATGAACCGTTCTTGCTAAACAACCTCGGAGGTTTCCTTGCCCAGACTCACTGGCTGGTGTTCCACTGACTACAGAGTTGATACCATGCCAGAGTGCTGAGGTGACTTGTTTTGATTTTTGACATTTCCTGTCTGCTCTTTTTTTTTGACTTCAGATCTGCCCTCACATTTTCCATGACATATATTGGAAGGTGCTTGTGGTGGGTGACTGGCATCCTTACAGTGACCTTTTTAGTAAGCGGCCTACAGAGTCAGACACGAGGTCCCTGGTCAGAAGTTGAATGCCTGCTGCAAGTCCTTGAGCAGAAGGAAGTTATTTTCCACCCACCAGTGGATTAGGCGAAATGCAGTTTAGATAGATTCCTGCTTTCAAAGAGACATGACTGAGTATGGCCTGTGTCTTATGGAGCAAGGATTCAATGGCACAGAAGTGTGTTTTCTTTATTGCTAGGCTCTTTCTTGACAAGGTTTTTCCTTCTAAACAAGGAGCCTCAGATTATATGCAAAAGTTTGTAACCACTTTAAGCCCCGACTTTGAGTATTCAGTTTCATCTGTAAGCCCTCCTCTACTTTTCTAGAATGTCCCAACAGCCATTTCTCTCACATCTGGACAGAATAGCAGTCAGTAGAGTGATCATTTAAATTGTGTCCCAGTGGCTGGTGTGCATAGCTGCACCCCCTCACTTTCCTAAGGGCCCTTGCCCACCCTATGCATAATGGTGTATATGTCTTTTCTCTCCGATCTGCCTCTGTCACCCAGGAGCAAGCATAGACTGCAGGCCGCCAGACGATGCTGTGTTTGATATCATCACAGATGAGGAGTTGTGCCAGATACAGGAGTCTGGCTCCTCTTTGCCTGAAACACCCACCGAAACAGATTCTCTTGATCCAAACATGGCTGAACAGTGAGTAGATGTCATCTCCGTTTCCTGAGAGCTCATTTCATGCCTGGCCCTTGTGCTTTCTTACCAAAGAACCAGAAAAGTGAGATACCGGAAGCAGGATTGGCTGTATTTGCCTAAGGAAGGTGCCTCAGAATAGTGCTTGAGCAGTATGGCCCTTGAAGAGCATGAGTACCTAGGGAGTGAGGGGTGTTGAACCTTGTCAGAGAGTTCCTGGGAAGTCTCCATGGTGCTCTGATTTCAGCACTGCCATTAAGGATTGTGTTCTTGGCATGGGCAGCTACATTAGTTTGCTTGGGTACTATAACAAAATACCTCAGACTGGGTGGCTTAAACAACATAAATGTATCTTTTCACAGCTCTGGAGACTAGAAATCTAAGTCCAGGTGCCTGCAGGGTTGGTTTCCTCTGAGGCCTCTCTCCTTGGCTTACAGATGGGGCTGTCTCTTCACACTGTCATTCTCTGTATGCACACATACCCACAGTGTATCTCTGCTAGCAGGATAATTCAGCCCATAATAGCAACTCTTGCTGTGCTGCCCTTGGCTCTTGCTCAGAGCATCATGTCACTCTTTTAAAGCCTTGCTCCCAGGCCTCCAGGCTTGTGGTGCCGCTCACCTTACCACCTGTCCCCTGGCTTGCCAGGTGATATGGGCAGAGTGGCTTAGTTACTGGAACAGAACATGCTCCAGAACCACTGGGCCTTGGGGTTGGGGAGAACACGGCAGGCTCACATAGTCAGAGTAGGCTTCAGAGGGGGCCGTTGCCGGAAGGAAAAAGTCACAGAAGTTACAGCAAGGAGGGGCTGTCTTGGGTTCAGGAAACTGATTGGCTGTATCCATGAGGCTGCAACATAGCCAGTTCATCCTATGGAAACACTAATCAGGCCACTAGCAGTGCTGTGAGAAAGGAAGCTCGGATTTAGTTGCAGTTGTCTTGGGTAGATATGTTCTCTCACAAGTCCCTTTAGCTGCAGATAAACCCATCCAAAGCCCCAGAGTTATAACAGCAATAAAAATACAAGCAAGTCTGTACCCTGCACCCAGTGGAACCCAAGGAACTTTCCACTCGCCTTGCCTGTTCTTTGCCCTTTCATTGGTATCTTATGCTGCCCTTAATCAGTGACCTGGATCCCCCAAATTTTCCCAACTGCTGAGAGAACGCTGCAGCTTACACAGTTAAGGTGGTCTTCAGAGGGCCAAAACGTCAGCCACAAGGATGTCTGGTGGTACTTATTCTCCCTCAGCCCTCTTATTTTTATAATGTATTTTATAATGTTTTCTAACAAGGTTTGCAAGCAGAGTTTTGTAAGGGCTAGTATTTTACAGTATGAAGTAAATTGCAGAGTGCCACCATATAAAAATGTCAAGCATTTGTGCCAGGAGACTCATAGGAAGAGGTCCTTGCTTGTTTCTTCTCAGCCACTGGTATCTGGTTCTAATAAGTTTCTATAACAAAGCACTGACTGATTAGAAGCTCAAGGAAGAATTTATGTGGTTCCTAGGTCCCAAACACTTCATGACCTACTTTCCCTGGAGTGAAGGACTATTTATGATGCTCTTACTAACTCACACTGAGATCTGTATTCCTCTTTTCCTGCCCAGAATTCAGAGGACTAGGATTGATCTGTCAGATTGATGATTCAGAATTTCTGCCGAGTGAGAGGAGATGTATTTAATCTTCAGTGCAAGGGATTTTAGACTTAAGTGCATCTCCACCCCTCCATTCCCTGTCTATAGAGTGACTGAACTTGCTGTGTTGTAGCCTCATGAATAGAGGCAACCTGATCCCTAAGCGCAAGATAGCCCTTTCTCACTGTTGTTCCTGTGATTTTGGGCTTTCCTTTCCTTCCTGGAACGGCCCCCTCTGAAGGCTTCCCTGACCGTGTGAGCTTGCAGTGTTCTCCCTAATCCCACGGCCCAGCAGTCTCCAGGGCATGTTCCGTTCCAGTAACTAAGCCATACCTGCCTTAATCACCCGGGAAGCCAGGGGATAGGTGGTAAGGTAAGCAGGTCCGTGAGCCCTGGGGGCCTGGGAGGATGCCTTCAGCCTGAAAGTGTCTGGTCACCTCCTGTAGCCTGCATGAGAAAGTGACCATCCAGCAGCCCTCTCTCCTCTCCCCTCACCTTCCCCTTTCCCAGTAAGAACAAAAACAGGTGTTCTGACCACTGACAATCATGTGTGTTTTTGGTCTTGGGAAATTAGGAACTGTTCCAGGGAAAGGAAACTGCCTGCATGCCAGCCCACAGCCGCCAAGGCGGATCTGAGAGTGACAGATGGGAACCTGTAGTCTCTGCACTTTACTTGTTTGGGTGAAGAGCCACCCTTCCAAGTCAGCTACGGACCACATTGGCAGATGCTTTTTGTGTGTATTAGCTAGAGATAAACCCAAGCATATCTGGTAGCTTTCCTAAGACCCAATCAAAAACACCAAGAGTCTGAGAAAGTGTGGGAGATCTGATGTCTTGGATTTGTAAACACATTCCTGGCCCCCCAAAAAAACTTTGAGAAAAAACAAGCAAATCTAAGGTAATCCAGAAGAAATTAAACACTATTTAGATCCAAATCCTTGCGGAAAATAAGGCTGCCTGGAAGTAGTGTTACTGAAAACTTCCGTTGAGTGCTTTCCTGCACCAACTGTTCTTACACATGGCCTCACTTAGGCCCTGTGCAGCCCTTCAAGGAGTGGGAATTAGTGTCCCATTTTGCAGGTGAAGAGGCTGAAGCCTCAGGAGGCCAGATAACTTGTCATGACTTTGTAAGTGTCAGAACTGGGCTTTCGACCCAGAACTCCTCTCCAGTCCACTGGCTTGAGATTCATTTGGAGTTCAGCTGTCTTCTTAGGTCCCCATGTCCCATTTACCCATCAAAAACCGCTAATTTCCCCTGCCATCATGTCTACTCCTCCACACATAGACACATTTTAGAGCTAAGGAAGTTGTTTGCATCACCCTTCCTGGCAGGGATGAGAAAGGAAGAGGTCCCACAATCTAGCCTGGCAGGGAGACCTGGCAGGATACTGTGGACTCCCCAAGCAGTCTCCCATGAGCTAGAATGTAGAGCAAGTGCACAGCTCCTCGCCTCTGGTCAAAAGGTGATATTTTTCAGAGCCTTCTGACAAACCTGTGCACACCCCTCCTTCAGTCATTTGGGCCCCGCCCCGACCATCTCCACTGACCAGGTGTCCAGCTGTTCTCAGGTCTTGAGACGGCAGAGAAGGAAGAGAAGGCAGAGAAGTGGCAGGCAGAGAAGGAAGCCAAGCTCTTGTCAGCTGGTAAATCAGGCCAGGAAGTGGGGCAGGGGCTGACAGGGGCACTGGGCTTTGACTCCCTTGGCCTCTGCTCAACCTCCACCCAGTCATGGCCTCCTGGGGGCCTGACCTTCCCATCTGGTGACCAGACAGACTGTATGGTGGTGAAGAGCTTGAGCTCCAGAATTATACACGCCTGGTCAGATCCTTGGTCTGCCAGCCCTAGGCTCCTTGGCTCTAGGCAATGCAACCCCCTGAACTCAGTTCCCTCCAGTACAGAAAAGATTGGAACAGCACATATCCCTAGGATTGTGAGGAAGACTGGATGAGCCATGTGTGCAAAGTACTGAGCCCAGTGCCTGACACCTGGGAAACCTTTCTTGGAGGTGTGTTGTTTCCGTGACGTTTGACCCTGTGCTGCAACATCAAGGGCTGAGCCTTGCGCATCTCCTGCTGTGTGACTTAGTCCCTTGCCCTGCACTACCCAGGCATCTTCTCCAAGAAAAATTGCTTCAGATACCTGGATGACACTAAGTGAGCTTGAGCTCTCCCACAGAGACTCCCCGAACCCACAGACCATCTTTGCCAGTAATTGCTTCAGAACTGATACCTCATGGTCAGAGTGCTTAGGGGAGCTGTGGTGGGTTTGTCGCCAACTAGGAGATCTGATGCCTGGTATCTCAGAAACAAAATGAGAACAGGATATGGTGATCATGGTTAAGGTTAGAAAGCCACCTGTGCTTGGTTTAACCCAAGATCTTTGCCTTGCTGAGTGCAGAGTTGGCAGGTTCCTGCAGCTTGTGAGCTGTGTGAAACCTTTCTGTTGTCACCATTTTGGGGCAGAGAGAGAGGATATTTATTGGGGCTTAGCCCTGGCTCTGCTGTGTAAGCCTTGGCAGGTATTAATCTCCGTGAACTAGTTTTCTTACCTGAAAAATGGGGATGATAGTGCCAGGCCTCCTATAGAACGGCCATGGACTAAGAAGGGCTGGGTATCTGGAAGACATGCTGCCTTGAAAGCCCCTTGGAGAAGGCCAGAGTGACAACCCCCTCACTGACTGCTCCTGGGCCCCATGCTTTTTGCCCTGCTTCCATTCCTTCAGCAAGGGTAGCTTCAAGCTTTCCTGTGGCACCGTCTCCTCAGTCCAGAACACTCGCAACACCTGGGCTTCTAGTTCCCTGGTAGTCCCTGGAACTGGTGTCATCTGGTGTTTACCACATCTCAGGCAATGTGACTGTCTGTGGGCCTTTGGCATCTCTAAATGGGACTGGATCCCACAGCACCACAACCACCCCCAAATGTGAGTAACTTGGCAGAGAAGGAGCACAGACCCTTTGGCCCTGAGGCATACCAGGGCATTGTAGATTCCAGCAGGGTCCACACCCAGCCTGACCCCTTTCTCCTAGTCCTCCCTTGCACCTCAAGCCTCGGATGAGCCTCAAGCTGGTGAGTGGAGGGGAGTAGTGGGTCTGAGTCCGGGAGCTGGCTCTGCCCTGCACCTGACCTCAGTCTCCTCTGTGGGATGGAATCAGTACCAACAATATCTTCTGCTTGGGCTGTGGCAGGAATGGAATGAGGACGGGATGTGAAGGTCCTCTGCAGCCTGCATGTGCTGTGCCAGTGTTTATTGCCAGCAATGATACAGACCTGGGTGTGGGGTGTGAAAAACTGATCTCTATGCTGAAGTGTAGTCGGTAAGGAGCCAGAGAATGTGGGGCCAATGACTGGCTAAGGAGGCAGAGAAGATGAAGGAAGATTCTGCTGCCATGCTGTTCCTGGGGACAGGTGGACAGGGCTTTCCTAAGGTGTGAAGGCCCCCACCTCCCTTGAGGGGACAGGCATTGGTCAGGGAAAACCCAGTGTCCCAGTCACTGCACCTGTTGCCATGGCCAGACAGGGCAGAGCATGGCCTTTGGAGTGCACTGTCCGTGCCTCACAAGCACTCTGAGGGAGGGCCGTTGTAAGCCAGTTGTGGGGGGTGGTGAGCCAGGGTTTAGGAGGCTGTGTCACTTGCACGGTGGTGGAACTGTCACTAAGCACTGTCTGAATGAGCCCAAGCCCTGTGTTACTATTACACCATGCTGCTTCCCTCCATGGAGACTTGTGGAGATGTCACAAGGTGCCTGTCTCCTCACTCTTTACTTCTTCCTCCCTACATAGGTCCTCTGGGCCAGGATACTGTCAGGGAAGCCCAGGACTGGTGGCCCCTCTGTCAGAAGTGTTCACATTCAGATGAATGCACAGAGGGGATGACAGAAACCTCCCATTGGAAACCAATTAAAATAAGATAAATGTCATTCTTGTCACCTTGAAAGGGCAGATTTTGTTGTTTGAGGAAGCGCTCGGTGGTCCATGTGATCTGGATACAGCAAAGAAACTCTCCTCATGGATGTGTTTAGATTTGTTCATGAAGCAGTGGGATCCTGTGGGTACTACAAGGCCCAGCCTGTGCCCAGCTATGCCTGGTGCCTGTGGCACGCCACACACCTCTGGAAGGCACCTTGCAGACGCTCCCTCACCTCATTGACCCATGGACTGACATAGAGTGCTTCCATTTTGTGCCACTAGTTCTTGTAACAGATAATAACTACTGCCATATTTTAGACCCTTTTTACCCCCAATGCAAACTGTGCTAAGTGTTTTAATGCAGTGCCTCAAGTCTTCCTCATGCTAACCCAGAGAGGTGGGTGCTGTTGGGATCCATGTTTCACCAAAAGAAAGGAAGCAGGTACTCAGTGGCTAAGAGCTTTGCCCAGGTCCTTACTAACTGGCGATTCATCTCTGGTCTATCCAGTCCCCAAACCACACTGTTAAGCCACTTCTGGCCTGCCTACTTCTCAGTGCATTCTATTTAGCTGTTGTCAATGGATCCCCCATATTTTGGTGAGTGATTTTGGGATACAGAAGCCCAAAAGGCATCTTTATACCTATTTAACAGATTTCCAGGATCTAATAAATATGCATAAAACCTGACATTTAAAACTATGCCTCATCCTTGTAACTATATTATAGAAATTAAACAGATGCACTCACATTTTGGGCAAGTTTAGAAGCCACAGTGAAAGAAGGTTATCATCACTGGTATATTCCATTTCCTTGATAGCACTGCCCTGAAAGTTTACAGTGTTAACTTATTTCCTTTGCTCTGAGCCCCCAAACAACTGTTTTTATATATTCTAGGCACACCACATTAAAGTAGACTTTGCCTAAGGGTAAAGGTGGTTTGGTGACTTTTAAAAAGTTTTATTTCTGAGTTGTGAAACTCATATGCATTATGATATGTGTGTGTGTGTTTACATTTATATATGTTTGTGTGGTGGGCATTGGAAAATTCCATTTGTAAATGAGCAGAGCCACCAAGAGTCCATTTTGCAAATGCTGCTGAGATTCATTATAGTCTTAAACTCTGTTTTGCACACTTTCCAAGTATTCCATCGTGGATCACTGCAATTATCAACCTATTGTCATTTGTTTGGGTCCATTTATATTCTCCAGTACTAGTCCTTTCAGGATTAATCAAAGAGAACAGAAGCATCTACCTATGCAAAAGTCAAACTCCAAGGTGAGGCAGAGCCTGATCTCGTTTCTTTTAGGGGCCTGGTATCTGATGTCTGAGTCCTGTGGGCCACACTTGTTTTCATGACTGCTTTCATCTCCACTGCTTGCCTAGTAGTTAGCAGGGTCTTCTGAATGTGGGCACCCAGCATGTCCTCTGCATCAACAGCCTTGTTGGCTGTGCTCACCTCATCAACCTTCAGCCCCTGTCCCAGTCAAGGAGAACCTGAGATCTCAAAAGTCACATGTCGTCCCCTTGGTTTCAGCATTCTTGGTGATGGAGGAAGGAAAGCCCTTAAAAATGTTAGACCTCATTTTGAGCTTCAGACCTGGGTGTTCAAGAGATAATGGAATGTGTTCATATCTGAGAAGCATTCCAAACCAGCCAGAGAGTGTACTCACTTCACCATGAGAGTGCAAAAGCTATAAACAAAGCCTTCCTCATCATATCCAACGGATGCAGCTATGCCCTGTAAGTGCTGGAGCAACGTTTCTGAGTCCCAGCAAGGCCTACAGCTGGAACATGCTGGTGCCCTCCACATTGTGGGAGGCAGAAAATGTCTTGGAATTGTCCTCAGAAGACTTCCATTGATGTGAGACCCCAAGGCAAGGGAGGCAGCCAATGTCCTTCACAAGTTTCCAGAAGTTCTTCCGAAACTTCAGGCGGACAAAGGCATAGAGCACAGGGTTAAGACAGGCTCGCAGGTATGCAATGACCTCCGTCACTGTAATGGCATAATGAAAACTTGTCATGGTATCATACTCCCAGCTTGTGCTTTGGATGAGCTTCATGAGGTTGAAGGGTGTCTGAGTCAGCAGGAACACAGCCACCACCAGGAAGATGATCTTTAGAGATCTGTGCTTCTGGAAACCTCGGGCATAAAGCAGCTTCCTGATTATGACTGAGTAGCAGACAATCATTGTGAGCAGTGGCAGGAAGAACCCCAGTGACATCTGGGTGGCAAGAACCACAGTGGAAATCCCGTCAGCATGGTAATCACAGACGAGCTTGTCAAGATGAAAGACATTGCCGTAGATGATCTGGGGCAAGGAAACCAGCAGGGAGATCAACCAGATGATCAAGCAGATGACCTTGCCCCAGGCCATCCTCTTGGCCTGCTGGTTGTAGGCCTTGGTGGCCTGAACCACTGCAATGAAACGATCCACAGTGAGACAGGTGAGGATGAGCATGGACGTGTAGAAGTTTATTGTGTAGATGCCCCGGAGGGTCTTGCACAAGACCATGCCAAAGACCCACTCATGGATGCCTGCATAGGCCCAGAAGGGCAGAGTGCAGATAAACACCAGGTCAGCCAGGGGCAGGTTCACCAGGAACAGGTCTGTCAGGCTCTGCAGCTTCTGGTAGAAGATGGATATGATCAGCACTAGGGAGTTCCCCACCAGGCCGCAGAGAAACACCACTATATATGTGCAGGGCAGGAAGATATTCTTGAACTGCAGGAAGTGTTCATGCTCCTGGATGCTGACATTGGATGTGCTGAAGAACCCGTCATCTTCATAGTTGTATTCTTCCATGGCATCTGCTCAGAAGAACCCAGGAATTATATTTGGGGCTGAGGGTGACACTCCCTGTCTTCTCACTGTCCCGTTGTCTATGTTTATTAGAGGCAAATAGTCACCTCCTAAACCCACCCACTGGGATACTCAGGAACAGCACAATCCAGTCTACTGAAGATAGTGAAGTTGAGGGGAAATTGCTCAGATAGGATGAGGGACTCCACTAGCCCTAAAATTAGCAGGATCTCACCCATCTGAGTAACAAGTCATCACTGACCCCCACGCACCTTCCATAAAATCCTGTTCACAATTATTTTCAAAGTACAAGTTGCCCTGTGTTCACATGGGTATGGTGCCTTTGGAAGAGCAGTACTGCTCAGCAGTGGAGAACACCTGGAGTCCTGTCCCATACCTCATCCCAGTTGCCCACCCATCACTGCTCCGTCTTCTGTTAAATTGTGAAAGCTAAAGCAAGTATTCCCTCCAGGGGGCTCTACTGTCAACACAGATGTTTAGGGGATGACCAGGACTCCTCTGCCTGGGTGGGCAGTCCTTCCTGCCTTTTCTTTCCCTCAATGGCATTCATTTTCAGAGGCAACTGATGAGGAAACAAGACGTAGAAAAGCACCTGGCTGACCGGGTGTGGTGACTTACCCTATAATCCCAGCACTTTGGGAGGCCGAATGAGAGGATTGCCTGAGCCCAGGGGTTCGAAACCAGCCTGGGCAACTTGGTGAGACCTTGTCTCTACAATAAATCACAAAAATTAGCCAGGCATGGTGGTGTGTGCCTGTTGTTCCAGCTACTTGGAAGGATCGTCTGAGCCCAGCAGATTGAGGCTGCAGTGGCTGTGAGCAGTGTGCCACTACTACACTCCAGCCTGGGCAACAGAGCGAGACTCCAACTCAAAAAAAAAAAAAAAAAACCTGACTGTCTAGAACTTTGGCTGAGCTGACTTCCAGGGAATTGGGCGGTGTTCCTCTCTCCCCAGCCCAAGCTGTCCTCTCACCACCTATTGACAACTTTTTACTATCAGAGCCTCATTTTCTGAAGAGTTCTTAATCTACAGGTGTCTCTTAAAAGGTAGATTTCCCCAGAAAGGGACATGGCCTTGGCTTCTGTGATGAGCAATTTAGGGCTTAAGGCCTTTAACAAAGTAAGTCCTGATTGAAATGGGGCTTCAAATGGGCAGTGGTACAAATGACTGCAGCCCTTCATGTGTCACTTTCCCTGACCCTTCTCCCTGCCCTGTTACCCTGCCAGTGACCACAGACAAGGCATGAGGTGCTGTGACCTGTGGCATGGGAGGAGGGGCAGCTGCGGTAGCATCAGCCGGAGATGCCAGGCCCATCCTTGCCATGGACTTGCATATGCTTGGTAACAGCAGCTCATTTCCAGTAACCTGAGGAGGCTGTGCCCCTCCCGCACCTCGAGATGTCTTAGGAAGATCAGGTGTTTGGGCAGAATCTCTGCAAGGTGTAGCAAAGTCAAAATATTGCCTAGCCAGACAAGGGCATTTAAAAGTTGAGGTAATCTCTCCTAGTCCACTCAGAGACACTTCTCTCCCTGACATTGAGTTCTGACTGGAAGCAGCATCAGCCCTGATGCCACTGCCTTCCTTGGTCCTTCCAGAAGCCAAAGCACCCTTTGTCTCCAGCAAGGACAGACCTTGCCATCGTGGAAGGAGTACTCAGAGTATAGTTCCTACCCTGGACCACAAATGTTAGATCTCTGAGGGTGATAGGTCAGCCAGTAGGCATCCTCCCCACAAGCTTTCTGGAGATAAATGATGATGTGTTTGTGTTATCGCTTCACACAGAGACAAAAACATGTTCTCATCATTTAAAATACAAAAACAGCAGGCAGCTTTGCTCTTAAGAATAATGTCCAGCTCCCTATTGTTGCTTGGCTTTCTCTTGCCTTTTTTATCCTCCTATTCCAGCTTTTATTGAACCCTTACACTGGCATCACACATTTCCTTGAAGGACCTGTGCAAATTCATTTGTAATCATGGGTAAACTGTAATATTATATTCACAGATGGGACTGGACAGTTCTGTGCAGGCAATTAAAAATGACTTTCCCTTCTAGAAAAGATTTTTAAAAATTTATTTCTTTAGTGTCTATAATCAAAATCGCCTGTTGACAGCTGAAAATTTTTAAAAATAATATATTCAACTTTGGAAATAATGTAAAACTATGATAAATTATGCAGCAAATTATAATTCAGGCGTAAAATAGAATATGGCTGAATGTTTAGGAAGCACTATTAATGCTTTTGGAAAGTCCCATATTGTTAAATTGCTCAGAACAGTGTAAACACAGAGTAAATATGCAAAATAAGTATAAGCTACTAATATTACAACAGATCGATGTCAAAAAGGATATAAAATTGATTGTGATTCTTAACCTTTTTTGACCATAAATTCCTTTAAGAATCTCATAAAAACTGCAGACCTTTTCTCAGAAATAATGTGTATACACACACAAACAGACCTGCAATTCTCGGGGGGTTCATGAACCCCTGCATCCTGCTGCAATGTATTCTAGGGACCTTTATTTAAGAATTCATGATAAACTATACGATATTGACTATATTTTTTAAAATAGAAAAATAACCACATTTTATTAGCAGTTAGCCTCTGGCTGGTGCAATTATAGGTAACTTATTTTCTCTTCCTTTATGTTTCTTTAATAATTTCCAAAGTTTCTACAGTCATGTACTGATTTATACTGAAAAAAGAAAGTAAACAATAATCTGAGATAATTTGTCTTAAAAATACAAAAGAAAACAGATAATTCAGTGAGCAAATATAGACAATGACTAGACTCACCTTATTTTCTGGGTCTGGCTGGGGATGCCGTCACTAACAGTACCACCAACTTACAAACATTTACTGTTCACCTGAATCATGTTCAGAATTTTCCTTTTTCTTTCATTTAACCCTCACAGCAGCCAATGGCAGCAATAGAATTTGAATCAAGAGCAGTTGCAGTCAGTAGTCTGAGTATTTTGCATTGTGCCCTACTGAAGGCAGGAATCTGAGAACCCCAGCAACCCTTGGGGTTAATCCTCCCTGTCTCTTTTTTTTTTGAGTCAGGGTCTCACTCTTTCATCTGGTCTGGAGTGCAGTGGCACAATCCCAGCTCACTGCAGCCTCAACTTCCTAGGCTCAGGCGAACCTTCCACCCCAAGCTCCCAAGTAGCTGGGAGTACAGACATGTGCCACCATGTCTAGCTAATTTTTTAATTTTTTTGGAGAGGTGAGGTCTCACTATGTTGCCCAGGCTGTTCTTGAACTCCTGAGCTCAAGCGATCCTCCCACCTTGACCTCCCAAAGTGTGGGATTACAGGCGTGAGCTACTGTGCCCAGCCCCTCATCTTTTAAATATAAAGACAAATGACTCACCAGCAGAGATGCTTTGTCAGTTTGTTCCAGAGATGAGTTTGCTCATGAAGCAAGGTCTACCTCTACTTCTTTGTGATGTGGTTCATGTTTCCGCTGAATATTTTTTAAGAGCCTTCAATTGGCCTCTATAAGAGACCCACCCTCTAGCCCCATCCTTCAGATCAAAATCTATATGACGAACCTACACCCATGAATTTAAGGATCAGAGATAGGGATCGGTGACTCTGATATCCTACACCCCCTTCATTCTGGCTTGGGGCTTATTCTGTCAGGACCTGACCAGAGTTTTATTTATAAACTAAAGGGGAATAATTAAGTTTGGTTGGCAGTCCACTGAAGATGTGGCATTCGTACCTCAAAATTGTTTCATTTACTACTCATATCTCTTTGGAACTGTTGGGGTCTGGGCCAATGCAAAGTCCATGCTATGGGCTGAATTCAGTGTCTGTGTGCAGCTAACATACATAATAGCTGCTGAACCTCATAGCAGCCCTGCAAAATAGGTATTATCCTCGCTTTATAGATAAGAACACTGACGACCACAGCCAAAATAATAGCTCCATGTGCACACAGCTAGTAACTGGCAACTTAAAGATACAAATCAGGTCTCTGTCATCAACAAACCAGTGAACTGGAAGGCTTCTAGGTGATGGTCTGCCAAAGAGCCTGGTGCAACCCTGCCTCTTAAACCCATACCACTCAGGCCCCTTGGCAAGCAGTGCCCACCCACCCTGCTTCTCCTGGCTGGAATCATCTGGTTTCCTGGGGCTGCCCTCTCCACTCCTGGAGTTCCTCGAGAAGTTGAACACCTTGATGTCGGTGCAATTCTAGTTGTTAGACTCCATGACAGAGTATCACTGACCCTTTTGGGAAATAACACCGGAAGGCAGAAATTGGAGGAATGTCTGCCTGGGTCACATTCCCTAGCACCTCCTAGTGGAGGGGGAAGTAGATAGAGGTGTGGACTCCATTTCTGTTTTCCTAGAAGCAGCTAACCTCTTGCAGAGGCACCAGGCCTCCCTCTCAGCCTGCTTCCCTGCTAGGCAGACCCCCTCATGAGGCTCTTCTGAGGGCAGGTGTCGGGAATTGAGGGCAAGGGCCAGGGATAGCCCCAGGATTCAGAGACTGACAGTTCCACTGCAAGCCTGGTCCTGTGCTAGATGCTTTCTGTGTATGACTATCTCATCCTAGTTATTTAAAGAGCAACAAAAGCAAACAGAAGATTAGAGAGACTAGCTCACTTGCCCAGAACACATGTCCCCAAGCTGTCCTCCAGTGTCTGTCTAACTACAAAGTCAGTGCTCCCTGCCTACTCTTCCTGAGTATGCAGCTGTCCCAGGGAGGTCTGGCAAAAGATCTGAAGACCTCTAGTGAAATGTTATTTTACACACTTTATAAAATGCCTTTTATTGTGTGCCAGTTGGTAGTGTTAATTGTTTCAAGGCTATTACTTTTCTTTGAAACAAAATTCTAAACTTCTTAAGACGTGAGTACCAATCATGTCTTGGATTTCCCCAAAAATACTTAAACATTTTTCTAAATAGAATTAGGGGAAGACTGAAAAGGAAATGGCAGAAAGTTCTGCTGCAGATTTATCTTGGAGGTCAGA